ATGTCTCCCACAAGACAGTCAATACCCTACCTCTAACGCAATCCCCCATGGGTAGGACAGTTCGATAGCCTAGTGACAATGCCACTAACACAATGTGTTCGAACCCACACACTCGTAATGATATAGAAGACCTGATTTGGGTATTAGTATGTTGACCTTATTTCCTCAATGGAGTTCAATGGAATTGATTGTGTAATCTAGATCCAAAATTCCCACTTTTACTTAACGAATACCAAAGTGCTTCCTGTTCACCATTTGTGTAAACTGTATGGAATATCTAAGTGTACGTGTTCACCTGTAATCCCCACGTGGTCGTGTACACTAGGTTAACCCCACGTGGTCGTGTACACTAGGTTAACCCCACGTGGTCGTGTACGCTAGGTTAACCCCACGTGGTCGTGTACACTAGGTTAACCCCACGTGGTCGTGTACACTAGGTTAACCCCACGTGGTCGTGTATACTAGGTTAACCCACCCCACGTGGTCGTGTACATTAGGTTAACCCCACGTGGTCGTGTACACTAGGTTAACCCCACGTGGTCGTGTACACTAGGTTCACCCGACGTGATCGTGTACATGAGGTTAACCCCACGTGGTCGTGTACACTAGGTTCACCCCACGTGATCGTGTACATTAGGTTAACCCCACGTGGTCGTGTAAACTGTATGGAATATCTAAGTGTACGTGTTCACCTGCAATCCCCACGTGGTCGTGTACATTAAGTTAACCCCACGTGGTCGTGTACATTAGGTTAACCCCACGTGGTCGTGTACACTAGGTTAACCCCACGTGGTCGTGTACACTAGGTTCACCCGACGTGATCGTGTACATTAGGTTAACCCCACGTGGTCGTGTACATTAGGTTAACCCCACGTGGTCGTGTACACTAGGTTCACCCCACGTGGTCGTGTACATTGGGTTAACCCCAGGTGGCCGTGTAAACTGAATGGAATATCTAAGTGTATGTATTCACCTGCAATCCCCACGTGGTCCGACATGGCTTTGAACAGTCTAGGCAATCCCAACTTGAGCACTAGAGGTAATCCCCAGATGGCTTGAACACTAAAGGTAATCCCCACATGGCCTTGAACATTCTAGGTAATCCCCGGATGGCCTTGAACACTAAAGGTAATTCCCACATGGCCTTGAACACTAAAGTTAATCTCCGTGTGATCCTGGTCACCAGGGAATCGCTATATGACCCAGTAAAGTACGAAGTGCGTGGTTTTATAATAGTGAGTATCAAATAATCCACATATGATAGTGAGTATCGGTTAATCCCAATGTGATTGTGAATATCAGTTAATCCCCATGTGATAGTGAGTATCAGTTAATCCCCATGTGATAGTGAGTATCAGGTAATCCCCATGTGATAATTAGTATCAGTTAATCCCCATATGAGAGTGAGTATCAGTTAATCCCCATGTGATAGTGAGTATCAGTTAATCCCCATGTGATAGTGAGTATCAGGTAATCCCCATGTGATAATTAGTATCAGTTAATCCCCATGTGATAGTGAGTATCAGTTAATCCCCATGTGATAGTGAGTATCATGTAATCCCCATGTGATAGTGAGTATCAGGTAATCCCCATGTGATAGTGAGTATCAGGTAATCCCCATGTGATAGTGAGTATCATGTAATCCCCATGTGATAGTGAGTACCAGTTAATCCCCATGTGATAGTGAGTATCAGGTAATCCCCATGTGATAGTGAGTATCAGTTAATCCCCATGTGATAGTGAGTATCAGTTAATCCCCATGTGATAGTGAGTAGCAGTTAATCCCCATGTGATAGTGAGTAGCAGTTAATCCCCATGTGATAGTGAGTATCAGGTAATCCCCTTGTGAAAGTGAGTATCAGTTAATCCCCATGTGAAAGTGAGTATCAGTTAATTCCCATGTGATAGTGAGTATCAGTTAATCCCCATGTGATAGTGAGTACCAGTTAATCCCCATGTGATAGTGAGTATCAGGTAATCCCCATGTGATAGTGAGTAGCAGTTAATCCCCATGTGATAGTGAGTATCAGGTAATCCCCATGTGATAGTGAGTAGCAGTTAATCCCCATGTGATAGTGAGTATCAGTTAATCCCCATGTGATAGTGAGTATCATGTAATCCCCATGTGATAGTGAGTAGCAGTTAATCCCCATGTGATAGTGAGTAGCAGTTAATCCCCATGTGATAGTGAGTAGCAGTTAATCCCCATGTGATAGTGAGTAGCAGTTAATCCCCATGTGATAGTGAGTAGCAGGTAATCCCCATGTGATAGTGAGTAGCAGTTAATCCCCATGTGATAGTGAATAGCAGTTAATCCCCATGTGATGATAGTGACTATCTGTACCTCATAGTACTCATGGTAATATGGTATTCGTTAAGTTTTGATTAAACAATCAATCCCGTTGAACTTCGTTGATATAGGATCTCTGTATTACTAAGTATCGACAGACATGACGTGTTTGTATTAGAATATCTCCGTGTATAGAGACGGGTACAGGTATCCCCGTTAAGTGGTGTTAATTATGTACATTCAATTAACCATGTGATATCCATGTGTACATTAAACGTGCAGTTGGAAATCCAAGATGTGAAGTGATTTTATTACAAATATTTGGTTTCTTGTCAAATGCGTGGTTTATTCCTGTCACCTGTTACAGATAAACACATGCAATTTTGACAATGAGAGAGAGAGGACACATTTCGGTAAACGTTGTACATGGAGTGTTGAACTCTCCGCATGCTGATATTACTGTGTTCTTTATCGTTTACTACCTCCGTGTACTTTTGGATACTGTTGTTTGCCCATTATATGACGTAAAGTAGGGATATTATATACAGACGGAGACATTTTGTAAACGACTACGACCATTGTACCGTGTTACGCTTTGTCTACGGAGATTGAGACTGTCCCTGCCTCCTTGTAATTAGCGGAGGGCGTTTGGTGGACTCGCTTGTTAGGCTTGTTAACCGTTCTCACCCGAGACAGTCAGGACAGATTTGATTGGCATTTCACCAATTCCATTAGTGACGTCACAACTGACTGTATATTTGTCGGATCATAACTCCTGCCCTAACCCTCCATTATTTCACATAACGATCAGGTTTCAATACGCCCATCCGCTAATCAGTTGTACCCGAGCTATAATTTCACACCCTAATTTTACTGATAGTAACTTATATCAGCTAGACGTCCCATAATCCGACCGCAAGTCCAGACTCCCAATACCATTATAATTGGTAATCTCTTGATTGTTGATGTATAACAATAATCTGTCTCGATATCCGTAATCTAGTGTCGATGTCTGCCTTAACCTGTCTCGATATCCGTAATCTAGTGTCGATGTCTGCCGTAACCTGTCTCGATATCCGTAATCTAGTGTCGATGTCTGCCTTAACCTGTCTCGATATCCGTAATCTAGTGTCGATGTCTGCCTTAACCTGTCTCGATATCCGTAATCTAGTGTCGATGTCTGCCGTAACCTGTCTCGATATCCGTAATCTAGTGTCGATGTCTGCCGTAACCTGTCTCGATATCCGTAATCCAGTGTCGATGTCTGCCGTAACTAGTCTCGATATCCGTAATCCAGTGTCGATGTCTGCCGTAACCTGTCTCGATATCCGTAATCCACCTGTCTCGATATCCGTGTCTGCCGTAACCGTCTCGATATCCGTAATCTAGTGTCGATGTCTGCCGTAACCTGTCTCGATATCCGTAATCTAGTGTCGATGTCTCCGCCGTAACCTGTCTCGATATCCGTAATCTAGTGTCGATGTCTGCCGTAACCTGTCTCGATATCCGTAATCTAGTGTCGATGTCTGCCGTAACCTGTCTCGATATCCGTAATCTAGTGTCGATGTCTGCCGTAACCTGTCTCGATATCCGTAATCTAGTGTCGATGTCTGCCGTAACTAGTCTCGATATCCGTGATCTGGTGTCGATGTTTGCGGTAACATGTCTGGATGTCCGTGATCTAATGTCGATGTTTGCCGTAACCTTTCCGAATGTCTCGGATATTTTGTCGAATTTAGCTTTCGTTTTTTTTAATATCCAAAATTTATTGCCGATGTCTTTCTGAATCAGTTTAAGTTTACCAAGTAGTTTAGATAAAAATCTGTTCAGGTTATTAAGATCGCAGATTACGTTGGTGAAAATAGTTTCTATTCATCAATCCTATGTAAACATTCTCTGTTTTTAACTTTCGGTGTGGTTTTCCACGGGGCATCGTGTTTAAAAACTCTTAATTTAAACTCTCAATTTTGACAATTCAAATAACGAAAGCAGTTTCGTTTGATGTGAGATAGATATCTTGTAGTGAAAATCTAGACGATTTCAGAATTATATATCAAAACAATGTTATTACAGTATACCTATGGACAGTTCGTCATGTCTTTGGAATAATCTCATTGCTTGGCGATTGCATAACGTTGTCAATGATGCACGTTCCGTGGATATCATTCGTAATGTTTATAGCGAGCGGGGCCCTAAAGATAACACGTGCGAAGAAAAAAGTGAAAGAATCCTCCATAATGTCAGTCATAAAGTTTTGTCACGGAAGTGGAAGCCAGTGGTGGATAGCAATATAACCGACATAGCAACAGATAGTCTCGGTCGCCCAGGCGATTGCAACCGTGTGCAAATAATAAGAGTATGGGTGACCAAGAATACTTACCCGGAAAACACGCTGAGATTGCCCGTAAAAATAAAATAGATAAACACCAGGAACTAGTTAGAAGTAAAACTTCCTTAAACTTTAGGTTGACTAAATATTCTCGCAAGTATTTGTTTACTACTTTAAATTACCCGATACTACCCTTGCTGCGCATGGCTTTGACATAATCCATATTATAGTATAACACATGTATTGATACTATTGTTCGTTTATGAGTAGTTTTGTCCGTACATGTGTCGGTTAAAATATATACCGCACTTTTTTACACTTTAAATGCCCACAGTTTGTTGGTTTGTCGTGTTAACTACTATGTATTTCTGTGTGTTTCAGCGGCATTTATAGGAGATATAGCCTTAGCAGATGAAGATATAGCTTACGCCAAAGCACACTCTAATCGTGAAGAGGGGGACACGCGGGATTTATATGGACTTCAGATTGATGACCCTAGGGCGTCAACCATTCACAAAACAGGTCCTCATACTACACTAGAAAAAAATATCAATAAACAGGACAAATTAAGTGGGAGAAAATCTAAAAGACATAAAAAGCAAAGAAAGCCGAGAAAACAGAAGAAAAACAAGAAGAAGAAGACACCGCTTAGAAAGTGTGCCAAAGGGTGAGTATGATAGCCAACCACAAACTAAGACATAGGAAGTTTTATATCCAAGATGGGGGTGGGGATGAGGTTTTGGAGAAGATGAGGGTGAATTATATAGAGGAGGACATGCTTAGCCAATCACAAACCATAGCACAGGAAGGTGTGGGTGGGGAAGGAAATGTTTAGCCAATCACAAACTAGGATACAGGAAGATGTAGGTGTGGGAGGAAATGTTTAGCCAATCACAAACTAGGATACAGGAAGATGTAGGTGTGGGAGGAAATGTTTAGCTAATCACAAACTAGGACACAGGAAATTGTAGGTGGGGAAGGACATGTTCAGCCAGTCACAAACTAGGACACAGGAAATTGTAGGTGTGGAACGACATGTTCAGCCAGTCACAAACTATGTCACGGGGAAGTTGTGGGTGGGGGAGGACACATTTAACCAGTCACAAACTATGGCACAGGGAGTTGTGGGTGGGAGAGGACATGTTTAGCCAATCACAAACTAGGACACAGGAAATTGTAGGTTGGGAAGGACATGTTCAGCCAGTCACAAACTATGTCACGGGGAAGTTGTGGGTGGGGAAGGACACATTTAACCAGTCACAAACTATGGCACGGGAAGTTGTGGGTTGGGGAGGACATGTATATCCCAACACAAACTATGGGGAAGTTGTGGGTTTGGGAGGACATGTATAGCCAAACACAAACTATGGGGAAGTTGTGGGTTTGGGAGGACATGTATAGCCAAACACAAACTATGGGGAAGTTGTGGGTTTGGGAGGACATGTATAGCCAAACACAAACTATGGGGAAGCTGTGGGTTGGGGAGGACATGTATAGCCAAACACAAACTATGGGGAAGTTGTGGGTTGGGGAGGACATGTATAGCCAAACACAAACTATGGGGAAGCTGTGGGTTGGGGAGGACATGTATAGCCAAACACAAACTATGGGGAAGCTGTGGGTTGGGGAGGACATATATAGCCAATCAAAAACCGGGAGAGACTAAGGAAGCTAGGATGAGTTCTGCAGTTAATCACAACCCCGGACTCAAGAGGTTGGAATAAGATTTTATCACTGTTCAGAACTTGTGAAACTGGGTCGAGTTTTGTATTACATCAGTATTTAGATACAGGTTCGACAGTAGTACATCACAGGTTACGAATTAGACGAAACACACGTGCGTACTTATCGCTTGTCATACATGCACTACTGATGTTGAGTTAGGGGTAATTCGGGTTTATTCCTCTTTTCCTGCTCATTGATATGCCCCAGATGTGTTGCGTAAGCTTAGATAGTTGGACCGTGGTAATTCTGGATTTTGTCTTAAAGAAACATTAGATACCCTGTTCTGACTTGCTAATAAAGTCAAATTCGTGTACAGCATATATAACTGTTCTGTAACAACCCGTAAAGAACGTGAGGGAGTTCGGAAATGATGACGAGTTGAGAGGTCTCCTGTCACTGATGTGCTGCTGGTTGTGGGAAAGGGGAAGGGAGTGGGGAGGGGGAGGGAGCAGTAATTTGAGAAACAAATTAATGATATATATGACATACGTTAACTGATGAAGAGCTTCACTAGAAACACGTGTTTAGCCCAATATCACTTCAGGGGAATCATAACATGTTTATGTACATATATAAGTAAGGTAAGTAGGAGAAGGATGGGTATGTTTAGGGCAAGGAGTTGTGGGTAGTATATACCAGGGTAGTGGGGTAATTATACTATGATAAAAAGGACTGGGAAGAGTGAGATCATTACGCTATGATTACCGGTACCCGGTAAAACCCGTGTGGTCAACACTCTTTTCACGTCTGTTCCGGAAATCGAACCCTGGACGGCTAGGTGAAAGGCGAGTGCGTTACCACTGCGCAACTCGACCATCCCAAGGACAAGAGAAAGTGGGTAATTTTTACTCGGATTAGTAAAGGAAGGGTTAACGAGCTATATGTGTAATGGGGTTAATTGGGGTAGCTATACATGTACTAGGGTTACTGGGGTAGTTATACGTGTACTAGGGTTACTGGGGTAGTTATACGCGTAATAAGGTTACTGGGGTAGTTATACATGTACTAGGGTTATTGTGGTAGTTATACATATACTAGGGTTACTGGGGTAGTTATACGTGTACTAGGGTTACTGGGGTAGTTATACATGTACTAGGGTTACTGGGGTAGTTATACGTGTACTAGGGTTACTGGGGTAGTTATACATATACTAGGGTTACTGTGGTAGTTATACATGTACTAGGGTTACTGGGGTAGTTATACATATACTAGGGTTACAGGGGTAGTTATACATATACTAGGGTTACTGGGGTAGTTATACATGTACTAGGGTTACTGGGGTAGTTATACGTGTACTAGGGTTACTGGGGTAGTTATACATGTACTAGGGTTACTGGGGTAGTTATACGTGTACTAGGGTTACTGGGGTAGTTATACATGTACTAGGGTTACTGGGGTAGTTATACATGTACTAGGGTTACTGGGGTAGTTATACGTGTAATAAGGTTACTGGGGTAGTTTTACATGTACTAGGGTTACTGTGGTAGTTATACATATACTAGGGTTACTGTGGTAGTTATACATGTACTAGGGTTAATGGGGTAGCTATACGTATACTAGGGTTACTGGGGTAGTTATACGTGTACTAGGGTTACTGGGGTAGTTATACATATACTAGGGTTACTGGGGTAGTTATACGTGTACTAGGGTTACTGGGGTAGTTATACATGTACTAGGGTTACTGGGGTAGTTATACATGTACTAGGGTTACTGGGGTAGTTATACATGTACTAGGGTTACTGGGGTAGTTATACATATACTAGGGTTACTGGGGTAGTTATACACGTACTAGGGTTACTGGGGTAGTTATACGCGTAATAAGGTTACTGGGGTAGTTATACGTGTACTAGGGTTACTGGGGTAGTTATACGTGTACTAGGGTTACTGGGGTAGTTATACGTGTACTAGGGTTACTGGGGTAGTTATACGTGTACTAGGGTTACTGGGGTAGTTATACATGTACTAGGGTTACTGGGGTAGTTATACATGTACTAGGGTTACTGGGGTAGTTATACATATACTAGGGTTACTGGGGTAGTTATACATGTACTAGGGTTACTGGGGTTGTTATACGCGTACTAGGGTTACTGGGGTAGTTATACGTGTACTAGGGTTACAGGGATAGTTATACGTGTACTAGGGTTACTGGGGTAGTTATACATGTACTAGGGTTACTGGGGTAGTTATACATGTACTAGGGTTACTGGGGTAGGTATACGTATACTAGGGTTACTGGGGTAGTTATACATGTAGTAGGGTTACTGGGGTAGTTATACATGTACTAGGGTTACTGGGGTAGTTATACGTGTACTAGGGTTACTGGGGTAGTTATACATGTACTAGGGTTACTGGGGTAGTTATACATGTACTAGGGTTACTGGGGTAGGTATACGTATACTAGGGTTACTGGGGTAGTTATACATGTAGTAGGGTTACTGGGGTAGTTGTACATGTACTAGGGTTACTGGGGTAGTTATACATGTACTAGGGTTACTGGGGTAGTTATACATGTACTAGGGTTACTGGGGTAGTTATACATGTACTAGGGTTACTGGGGTAGTTTTATCAGTGTGAGATTGTTGGCTCTCACCCTCGGTAGCTCTGTGCTTGGGCCAAATAAATAAATAAAGACAAATGAACATACATATCACATTTAAATTCTTTGGATTAGATGCATTGGATGAGTGATAAACGAATGCCAAGGGTGTGACATTCCTTAAAGAGAAAGGGGCCCTAATGGAGGTAGATCAGTTATATCAATCCCCTTGTGTACGGAAGGAGAGAATGAAACTTTATCTTTCTGTTTTTGGCTATCGGGCTTTAACTTTAGATACATGTAGACCCCATGTATCGGTCATAGCTACCCTGGCATAATCACGATTGTGAATATTTAATACATAAACGGTGAAGCCTATTCCTCTCGACCAATTCATGGCTTTTCCGTCAATGTTTTCATGAAACCTCCCCGTGACCAGGAAATCATGACAAAAAGAGGAGTTGCCCCACTCCCCATGTGTTTTCATACTGGCTTTTTGTCTTGGTTGCTATCCATCTTATTTCAGATTTCCTAAAATATTTCTCTAACGTTTCTTACTCATTCGAAACCTAACAACAATACATGTTTTGTTTATCCTGACAGCGATAAAAAATGCAAATCACTAAGAAAAGCAGAAAAGAAGAAGAGGAAAGAACAGAGATACAGAAGGAAAATCCAACGGAAAATCAAGAGAAGGTTAGAAACATCACCAGAGAGTTTGACAAACAGGCGAGAGAGACGTGCCGCCACTGCTCGTCCAGAGCGTCTCTGGGACTATGGTGTCATCCCGTACGAGATCGAGGCCAATTTTAGTGGTGAGTATCAGAATCTGTTGGATGTCTATACCATACACTCATGTATACTCATTATATTAAACGTTCCATACAATATAGCCAGTCAATTATATTATCTGTGTGTACATTTTGGACTCATTAAAATTGTTAAAAATGAAGAAAGTTTGATGAACACCGTCAATGGCGACAACTGAATGAAACGTTTTGGACAGAAAATTGTTCACATATAGCAGCTATACAACCAGTAGTTACTGTATATGGCATTTTGTTAACGCTAACGTGCTAGTTATTCTTCAAAAGTAACAAAAAACAAAAACACAAGTTTTGTCACTTTTAAACAGAAAAACGGATTTCATTGTGATTATAGGACATACCTCTGCTGTCGGCTCAATTTGAATTTTTGAAAAATAACTAATGAAACTAACGAATGAAAGAAACTGCGAGTTCGTGTGTCTTGTTTCTGCAGCAAGAGCTATTCCAAAGATGAATTAGCCTGTCCTGTACCAAGGTGTATATCAGATGGGTTTTAATGAAATGATGCTATTAATTGATATGCAGAACGAGCAGTTTCACAATTATACGGAAATATTATTACAATTTATTACAATTGACACAAGTGATTTAGTGTCTTCAAAACAACAAACTGATTTACATCTCTATCAAAACTGAATTACAGTTGAGGTAACGCGCCACGCACCAAAAAAAAAATCGTGCTCACATCGTGCATTCAGCGTGCTCACATCGTGCATACATCGGCCGCACTCACACACTGTGCTGAGTATTCAGCGCACAACAGTGCGATAGGAACGCACATTTTCTGCAGTTTGGTAAAAATTGTTGACTTACATTACGGATTGAAAAATAAACGGAAAACTCGCGTAGTTATGACCAAATAGCGATCATAGGCGTGTTAGATATTGAACGATGGTTCTGAAGGTCATATTTCATACGCGACAGTTCCACACCATTTGCATATGTACGTGTACCTGATGTGTCTCACCTATTGATATATTTAACAATTAAACATAAATAAATCCTAATCCACGCCTACCCATCAGTCATTTCTAAATTTATATCAACCACGATTTTATTTCTGTTCGTGAAGCGCCTTTCCTGCCATATTGGATTTTTTTTGTATCAAGAGGAAGCAGTGAAGTCCGTTTTGCTGATATTTTTTCAAGTGTGCCACCACAGGTCGGTCCTACAGAAAACAGAGAGGGAAACTATTTCAAACGTACAATAATAATTATAAAAAATATCTGCACACGGCGCGGAACTTTCTTGTTCAAAAAAGTAGTCCCGGTTCGCCAAACCAAAGTCAAACAAAACATGTTTAGATTACAACCACGTATTGTTGTTTTGTGATGAATGATTGGTAATTTTGGTAGAAACTGATAACGAGAAGACAGAGAAACAGTGTTCTGACGCTGTCGTGAGGTTACACTAATAAAGCTATTTCGCATAATAATACTTTGTTACTCGGACCAATTTTGATCTTCCTCAGTTGCCTTTTCAACAATGTAGGCCTTAAGTATCACTGACGAGACTTAGAAGAACGAAACAACTGTAAGATGCTGTTCACTAGCATTATCTGGCTCTTCTGTATCTAATTTTAATGTTGGGCTGAAAGATGTTACTCAATAATGTGTTTTTTACACAATTTTCTTTCAAGTTTATGAAGTATATATGCCACTGTAATGCGTTCTTCCAATGCTAAATGTATACAGAGTTTGGGACATGCAGTAAATATCACAAACTGACCAAAATGCAATACTAGTGTTAATCATAACAACACAACAAAATACAGTTAGTATAAACAGATGGTAACCACCTGTATCAATGGTATGTAGGATGCTGTATCAATGGTATGTAGGATGCTGTATCAATGGTATGTAGGATGTGATGCTGTATCAATGGTATGTAGGATGCTGTATCAATGGTAAGAAGGATGCTGTATCAATGGTATGTAGGATGTGATGCTGTATCAATGGTATGTAGGATGCTGTATCAATGGTAAGTAGGATGCTGTATCAATGGTATGTAGGATGTTGTATCAATGGTATGTAGGGTGTTGTATCAATGGTATGTAGGATGTGATGCTGTATCAATGGTATGTAGGATGCTGTACCAATGGTATGTAGGATGCTGTATCAGTGGTATGTAGGATGTGATGCTGTATCAATGGTATGTAGGATGTGATGCTGTATCAATGGTATGTAGGATGTTGTATCAATGGTATGTAGTATGGTGTATCAATGGTATGTAGGATGTTGTATCAATGGTATGTAGGATGCTGTATCAATGGTATGTAGGATTTGATGCTGTATCAATGGTATGTAGGATGTGATGCTGTATTAATGGTATGAAGGATGCTGTATCAATGGTATGTAGTATGCTGTATCAATGGTATGTAGGATGTTGTATCAATGGTATGTAGGATGCTGTATCAATGGTATGTAGGATTTGATGCTGTATCAATGGTAAGAAGGATGCTGTATCAATGGTATGTAGGATGTGATGCTGTATCAATGGTATGTAGGATGCTGTATCAATGGTAAGTAGGATGCTGTATCAATGGTATGTAGGATGTTGTATCAATGGTATGTAGGGTGTTGTATCAATGGTATGTAGGATGTGATGCTGTATCAATGGTATGTAGGATGCTGTACCAATGGTATGTAGGATGCTGTATCAGTGGTATGTAGGATGTGATGCTGTATCAATGGTATGTAGGATGTGATGCTGTATCAATGGTATGTAGGATGTTGTATCAATGGTATGTAGTATGGTGTATCAATGGTATGTAGGATGTTGTATCAATGGTATGTAGGATGCTGTATCAATGGTATGTAGGATTTGATGCTGTATCAATGGTATGTAGGATGTGATGCTGTATTAATGGTATGAAGGATGCTGTATCAATGGTATGTAGTATGCTGTATCAATGGTATGTAGGATGTTGTATCAATGGTATGTAGGATGCTGTATCAATGGTATGTAGGATTTGATGCTGTATCAATGGTATGTAGGATGCTGTATCAATGGTATGTAGAATGCTGTATCAATGGTATGTAGGATGCTGTATCAATGGTATGTAGGAAGTGATGCTGTATCAATGGTATGTAGGAAGTGATGCTGTATCAATGGTATGTAGAATGCTGTATCAATGGTATGTAGGAAGTGATGCTGTATTAATGGTATGTAGGATGTGATGCTGTATCAATGGTATGTAGAATGCTGTATCAATGGTATGTAGGAAGTGATGGTGTATCAATGGTATGTAGGATGTGATGCTGTATCAATGGTATGTAGAATGCTGTATCAATGGTATGTAGGAAGTGATGCTGTATCAATGGTATGTAGGATAGTTTTGGTTACATAGTTTCAGCGTAAATCAATTCCTTATTTGCCTCTATAACAATATACATTGGTTGGTATTAATATCTTATTTGTCTCTATAACAATGTTCATTCTTTGGTATTAATTCCTAATTTGTCTCTATAGCAACGTGCCAGGGTTGGTATTAATTTTTTGTGTATCTATTGTACAGTTACAAGCAGAAATGACGCTGCAACCTCCTGTTGTCATTAGATATTTTTCTCATTACCACACAGGCAAGGCGAATTTCTGTCAATGGACTTCCTAAACGATTTGAAATATTTTACAGATTCGCTTATAAAGTACACTATTGATTATTAGTATCGTGAATACATTTTTACACTCAAAATTTTAATTAAGGAAGAACGATGAATATTTAATTTTATGAATACGACTATTTGATGGAGATATAGAGAGATATTGTGTTATGTGAAGTTGTAGAATATTGATCTACATTGTTACCGCACATCAAACATTCAGTATCATATCTAGTGTTGTGCTGCTTACGTGACAATAATGACAATCACGTTTTCTAGTTGTAATATTCGAGTAAACATTCATGATCTGTCAGAGAAAGCAACAAGAAGTGCTGCTTTTGAAATACAGACTTGCTAATCTTGGTGAGCTGAGACGTGTAACGCCCTACGGGTCTGCGTAAATGACGCCGTCTGCAACATCCTCCATTATCGTATCTTTTTAGGACTTGCCAGACAAAAAGATTTTAACCAACAAAGTAAAATGACCACAACATAATCACCGTAAATACAGTGAGATAATACTGGACTCCGACCGGTGATCGATACAGTGTTAATATCGTCACCAACCTTTACCAAATCCTGCATGTTGATGCGAAGCTTCGTTAGTAGTTGTTTGTTATCTAAATCATACGAGATAATATACCAATCATATTTCATCTTACAGAGATGTTTCCAATGTCTAAATTGATTTAGGACAGACAGAATCCGATACAAGATTTCCCTTAAGAAACCAGGCTGGTAGATTCTGTGTAAAACACTAAAGTGTATGGTGTATTTCAATGTTAAAATATATATATTGCAGTTATTGAAGGCACATGTTCCCTTACTTTTTCATTATACATTGTTTCAGGACAACACAAAGCACTGTTTAAGCTGGCCATGCGACACTGGGAGAACTACACGTGCGTGTCCTTCGTGGAGAAACAACCAGAACACAGTAACTACATCGTGTTTACTGAGAGACCGTGTGGGTAAGGTCACACTTAGGGAACTATCAGAACACGGTAACTACATCGTGTTTACTGAGAGACCGCGTGGGTAAGGTCACACGTAGGGAACTATCAGTTTTATGGGGAAGGGATTGTTTTAGTTTAAATTATGACTTTGTTGTCAGTGTTTTTCACCAATATATATTGATATAAAACATGAATATTTTGACAAGTATTGGCTACAATAAACTGTTGATACAAGAAAGATAGAACGCGAGACCAGTGTCTTTAATAGGAGTTAATTGCTTTTAATTGGAGACACCGACCATATGTAGTCTCTATTCATATAATACATTGCTCTTATAAAATAGCCAATACCTTTTAGTCATAGTATAAATATTTCGTTCCGGCAGTAAGGTTGGCGTCAGGGTGTGTAAGACGTAGGTGGAAGGCCCGCGATAAAGCTGGTATATGTAAACCGTTGGTACCACACCATTTCTATGTGTCCTAGTGGATCCAGAATCTCGTAAATTAACAACAAACACTGCGTCATAATGCGTATGGTCGACCACGATGATTCCTGAGATTTATTGCTTTGTGTATATGACAAATGGCCTCCATAGGAATCCAACGTAACTGCTGAAAACACCAAGGTCACTGAAAATGTTACGCTCGTATACTATACCTTAATGATTGAAGACATCATTTTCAAACCAGCAACTATGGCTTAGGTTATTTGTCACCTAACTACGACTCTGTACAGAGACACTTCGGTTATATGTCACCTAACTACAAATCTTGTACAGAGCCACTTCGGTTATATGTCACCTAACTACCACTGTAGTACAGAGCCACTTCGGTTATATGTCACCTAACTACAACTCTTGTACAGAGCCACTTCGGTTATATGTCAACTAACTACCACTGTATTACAGAGCCACTTCGGTTATATGTCACCTAACTACCACTGTAGTACAGAGCCACTTCGGTTATATATCACCTAACTACAACTCTTGTACAGAGCCACTTCGGTTATATGTCACTTAACTACCATTGTATTACAGAGCCACTTCGGTTATATGTCACCTAACTAAAACTCTTGTACAGAGCCACTTCGGTTATATGTCACCTAACTACCACTGTAGTACAGAGCCACTTCGGTTATATGTCACCTAACTACCACTGTAGTACAGAGCCACTTCGGTTATATGTCACCTAACTACACCTGTAGTACAGAGCCACTTCGGTTATATGTCACCTAACTAAAACTCTTGTACAGAGCCACTTCGGTTATATGTCACGTAACTACCACTGTAGTACAGAGCCACTTCGGTTATATGTCACCTAACTACCACTGTAGTACAGAGCCACTTCGGTTATATGTCACCTAACTAAAATTCTTGTACAGAGTCACTTCGGTTTTATGTCACCTAACTACACCTGTTCTACATAGCCACCTAGCTACAACTGTTCTACATAGCCACCTAACTACCACTGTTCTACATAGCCACCTAACTACAACTGTTCTACATAGCCACCTAACTACAACTGTTCTACATAACCACCTAACTACACTGTTCTCCATAGCCCTAGATGTTTTATGTCACCTAACTACCACTGTTTTACATAGCCATATAGGTTTTATGTCACCTAACTACCACTGTTCTACATAGCCACCTAACTACCACTGATCTACATAGCCCTAGAGGTTTTATGTCACCTAACTACCACTGTTCTACATAGCCACCTAACTACCACTGTTCTACATAGCCACCTAACTACACTGTTCTACATAGCCATATAGGTTTTATGTCACCTAACTACAACTGTTCTACATAGCCACCTAACTACCACTGTTCTACATAGCCACCTAACTACCACTGTTCTACATAGCCACCTAACTATAACTGTTCTACATAGCCACCTAACTACAACTGTTCTACATAGCCATATAGGTTTTATGTCACCTAACTACCACTGTTCTACATAGCCATATAGGTTTTATGTCACCTAACTACCACTGTTCTACATAGCCACCTAACTACCACTGTTCTACATAGTCATATAGGTTTTATGTCACCTAACTACCACTGTTCTTCATAGCCACCTAACTACCACTGTTCTACATAGCCACCTAACTACCACTGTTCTACATAGTCATAGAGGTTTTACGTCACCTAACTACCACTGTTCTACATAGCCACCTAACTACCACTGTTCTACATAGTCATAGAGGTTTTACGTCACCTAACGTTTGCTACCATTTGCAGTAGGTGGTGTAGATATAACTGTTACCTTGGTAAACCCACTTTACTCTGATGATTTAGATACCTATGGGATCGAAGGATCGTCTGTACGAGTCCAGTGACTGTAGATTCTCGAGAACTAGTGATTAGGGTTCAGTAGGGTGTGGATTAAGGAGGATGACGGAACATGTCCACTATGAGGTCAGTTCTGATCATCACCAGTAATGGGTCTGTCTCAACATTTCAGTCCGTTGATATATAGCTAATGTCACCTGATCAGCGGAGCCATACAAGCTACACCACTGTAACAAATTACCTTGTAATACAAAGATATCTACGTCTGAATCTCTGACCTTGAGATTCGTTATTGGCCGATCGGTGGACATTCCACAAGCACGCGGCGGTTTGTCTTAGCTTGTTTGTTTGTCTGGGAACATGATCTACATCAGTATTCAATTTTGCTCTTGCCATTCAGATTATTAATCAACGTTCAGTTCACAAGCTCTTGCTAGTTATTGTTGACTTAGCAAGCCTCGGTTTATTTATGCTCTAGTTTAGATGTAGTTGACTAACAGGCTCTGGTTAAATTATGCTCTAGTTTGGATGTAGTTGACTAACAGCCTCTGGTTAAATTATGCTCTAGTTTAGATGTAGTTGACTAACAGGCTCAGGTTAAATTATGCTCTTGTTTAGTTGTAGTTGACTTAGCAAGCCGCGGTTAAGTTATGCTGTAGTTTAGTTGTAGTTGACTAACAGGCTCTGGTTAAATTATGCTCTAGTTTAGTTGTAGTTGACTTAGCAAGCTCAGGTTAAGTTATGCTCTAGTTTAGTTATAGTTGACTTAGCAAGCCCAGATTAACTTATGCTCTAGTTTAGTTGTAGTTGACTAACAGCCTCTGGTTTATTTATGCTCTAGTTTAACTTTAGTTGACTAACAGCCTCTGGTTAAGTTATGCTCTAGTTTAGTTGTAGTTGACTTAGCAAGCTCAGGTTAAGTTATGATCTAGTTTAGTTGTAGTTGACTTAGCAAGCCGCGGTTACGTTATGCTGTAGTTTATTTGTAGTTGACTTAGCAAGCTCAGGTTAAGTTATGCTCTAGTTTAGTTATAGTTGACTTAGCAAGCCCAGATTAAGTTATGCTCTAGTTTAGTTGTAGTTGACTAACAGCCTCTGGTTTATTTATGCTCTAGTTTAACTGTAGTTGACTAACAGCCTCTGGTTAAGTTATGCTCTAGTTTAGTTGTAGTTGACTTAGCAAACTCAGATTAAGTTATGATCTAGTTTAGTTGTAGTTGACTAACAGGCTCTGGTTAAGTTATGCTCTAGTTTAGTTGTAGTTGACTTAGCAAGCTCAGGTTAAGTTATGATCTAGTTTAGTTAAAGTTGACTTAGCAAGCCGCGGTTAAGTTATGCTCTAGTTTAGTTGTAGTTGACTAAAGGCTCTGGTTAAATTATGCTCTTGTTTAGTTGTAGTTGACTTAGCAAGCCGCGGTTAAGTTATGCTCTAGTTTAGTTGTAGTTGACTAACAGCCTCTGGTTAAATTATGCTCTAGTTTAGTTGTAGTTGACTTAGCAAGCTCAGGTTAAGTTATGCTCTAGTTTAGTTATAGTTGACTTAGCAAGCCCAGATTAAGTTATGCTCTAGTTTAGTTGTAGTTGACTAACAGCCTCTGGTTTATTTATGCTCTAGTTTAACTGTAGTTGACTAACAGCCTCTGGTTAAGTTATGCTCTAGTTTAGTTGTAGTTGACTTAGCAAGCTCAGGTTAAGTTATGATCTAGTTTAGTTGTAGTTGACTTAGCAAGCCGCGGTTAAGTTATGCTGTAGTTTAGTTGTAGTTGACTTAGCAAGCTCAGGTTAAGTTATGCTCTAGTTTAGTAATAGTTGACTTAGCAAGCCCAGATTAAGTTATGCTCTAGTTTAGTTGTAGTTGACTAACAGCCTCTGGTTTATTTATGCTCTAGTTTAAATGTAGTTGACTAACAGCCTCTGGTTAAGTTATGCTCTAGTTTAGTTGTAGTTGACTTAGCAAGCTCAGATTAAGTTATGATCTAGTTTAGTTGTAGTTGACTAACAGCCTCTGGTTAAGTTATGCTCTAGTTTAGTTGTAGTTGACTTAGCAAGCTCAGGTTAAGTTATGATCTAGTTTAGTTGTAGTTGACTAACAGGCGCTGGTTTATATATGCTCTAGTTTAGTTATAGTTGACTAAGCAATCTCAAACGGAAGGTTAGTATTCTATAAAAGATGTCTACATGGAAGGTCGGTGTGTTCTATGAATGATACCTAGAAGGATATAGACTGAAGGTCAAGATTTTATATATCTAGAGGGAAGGTTACTTGTATTCTACAAGTAAATCTAAAGTTAATATTTTATAAAGGATATAGTGAATGTTAGTCGTCTAGAAGTGTTACGCTTTAGCAATAAGAAATTCAGAGATCCACATTTATTGCAATTAAATGAAACTGATTTTAATGTAAAACACGTGCAATATCATAAACACGTGTTAAACAGATTTCAGTAATACATTGATATGTACTTGCTGCTGGCTCCGTATTCGCGGGAGGCACCATAACTCGGTCTAGTTGCAAGTTTTTGGTTTAGTTTTTATACCAAAGAGAAGCTTATTTCTATATGGTTTGAGAGTGTAGTACACTGCTTTGATTGGCGTGTAGCCAGTTGGATGGGGTTTGTAAACACATTAGAATGTTTGGTCGAGGATGTTATTTATGTATACCTGTACATATTACTCAATCACACTTTGATGATCTGTGTAAGAAATCTGTCAGGACGTAGTTGAGACGGATTCCCTTCATCTGTTACACATGTGCCTTTCATTTCTGTGATGAACAGCAGAATAGAGATTTAATCAGAAGGGCAAAAGTGTTGACCATTAAAGTCAGATAATGACATATTTATTTGATTTGATCAGCAAGTGTTCGCACCTGTTTAAGAGCATGTTAAATTCAACTACTCCTGATTTGAATTATAGTTGTATTGCATAAATACTACCAATAGACTGCTGGACACCATTTGAATACGGAGGCCTTTAGAAATTTTGACTATCATTATTCATCTTTTTTCAAATAATCCGATATATCCATTCAACACTACTAACAGGTCTATGTATATATACACGAGTTCTTTATATCCCACCACTACTAACATGTCTATGTATGTATACACCAGGTCTTTATATCCCACCACTACTAACAGGTCTATGTATATATACACGAGTTCTTTATATCCCACCACTACTAACAGGTCTATGTATGTATACACCAGGTCTTTATATCCCACCACTACTAACAGGTCTATGTATATATACACGAGTTCTTTATATCCCACCACTACTAACAGGTCTATGTATGTATACACCAGGTCTTTATATCCCACCACTACTAACAGGTCTATGTATATATACACACGAGGTCTATATCCCACCACTACTAACAGGTCTATGTATATATACACACGAAGTCTATATCCCACCACTACTAACAGGTCTATGTATATATACACGGGGTCTTTATATCCCACCATTACTAACAGGTCTATGTATATATACACGGGGTCTTTATATCCCACCACTACTAACAGGTCTATGTATATATACACGAGGTCTTTATATCCCACCACTACTAACAGGTCTATGTATGTATACACGAGGTCTATATATCCCACCACTACTAACAGGTCTATGTATATATACCCGAGGTCTTTATATCCCACCACTACTAACAGGTCTATGTATATATACCCGAGGTCTTTATATCCCACCATTACTAACAGGTCTATGTATATATACCCGAGGTCTATATATCCCACCACTACTAACAGGTCTATGTATATATACCCGAGGTCTTTATATCCCACCACTACTAACGGGTCTATGTATATATACCCGAGGTCTTTATATCCCACCACTACTTACAGGTCTATGTATGTATACACGAGGTCTATATCCCACCACTACTAACAGGTCCATGTATATATACCCGAGGTCTTTATATCCCACCACTACTAACAGGTATATGTATATATACACGAGGTCTATATATCCCACCACTACTAACAGGTCTATGTATATATACCCGAGTTCTTTATATCCCACCACTACTAACAGGTCTGTGTATATATACACGATGTCTTTATATCCCACCATTACTAACAGGTCCATGTATATATACACGAGGTCTTTATATCCCACCTCTACTAACAGGTTTATGTATATATACACGATGTCTTGACATCCCACCACTACTAACAGGTCTATGTATATATACACGAGGTCTTTATATCCCACCACTATAACAGGAGGTCTATGTATGTATACACGAGGTCTATATCCCACCACTACTAACAGGTCTATGTATATATACACCAGGTCTTTATATCCCACCACTACTAACAGGTCTATGTATATATACCCGAGGTCTTTATATCCCACCACTACTAACAGGTCTATGTATATATACACGTGGTCTTTATATCCCACAACTACTATCTGCTCTATATATGTATACATAACAGCCATCATACCCCAACTCATAATTATTTGGAGTTAAGATACGTTTTTGCCAAATATGGATTATCATATTAATTATTTGTGTTTGTGTTTGCAGGTGCTGTTCCTTTGTTGGAAAAAGAGGAAGTGGAGCACAAGCGATATCTATCGGAAAGAACTGTGACAAATTTGGAATAGTTGTTCACGAACTGGGACACGTGATTGGATTTTGGCATGAACATACACGACCGGATAGAGATGACCATGTCCAGATTATATACAAAAACATCATGCCTGGTAAGTATGGAAACATTTAGTAGAATCATTCTGACAAGATCATGTATGTTGTGGATCAGCGATATCAAATTTTATAATAAAACACAGAATAACACATGTTAAACAATTACTGGATAATAGATGGACCACGAGATCAGAATAGTTGACGTCGATCAAGGTGTAGGATAACACTTTATTATATAAAGAGAATATTCGTGTGTATGAACAATGAAAGTGTTTCGTTCTTTGATTCTGGATCAGGTTTTAGAGCTTTATAAGACACAGTGAGATTAAGAAGCACTCCTCTGCTGATGATAAAGTTTGTTTGTAAACTACTTTGCTTATGATGCAGATTGTTCACCCCATTATTTATGATGGAGATTGTTCACCCCATTGTTTATGATGGAGGTTGTTCAACCCGTTGTTTATGATGCAGATTGTTCACCCCATTGTTTATGATGGAGATTGTTCACCCCATTGTTTATGATGCAGATTATTCACCCCATTGTTTATGATGCAGATTGTTCACTCCATTGTTTATGATGGAGATTGTTCACCCCATTGTTTATGATGCAGATTATTCACCACATTGTTTATGATGCAGATTGTTCACTCCATTGTTTATGATGGCGATTGTTCACCCCATTGTTTATGATGGAGATTGTTCACCCCATTGTTTATGATGCAGATTATTCACCCCATTGTTTATGATGCAGATTGTTCACTCCATTGTTTATGATGCAGATTGTTCACTCCATTGTTTATTGTGGATTATTTTTCACTGTTAACAGCTGTCCACATTGACAACGTTTTTTATGATACGTACAACTATATATCTAGTGACTTATGGAGACCTACATTTGTATATTCAAGTTTTTAAGTCCACTGAATTAGGTTTGCATTCTTATTATGACATTGTTGTCAAGAAGTGGTAATATGTTCACTTTGAAAGTTTAAAATAACTTTTGATTAACTCTTACCATCTCTTTAAATACATAATTGATAATTAATTCCGTAAGAAGATTTCTTGTTTCAACTTGACAGTACCTTACCCTCTTTCAAAGCGGAGGAACGCTTTTATTGTCTGATTCTGAAAATATTTTGTCAAATAAAAGCGATAGGCGATACTATCGCGGTACGACATGTCAACTAATTAATAAAATCGTTATCTAAAAACCCATACGGAAAAAAAGACTAAAATATTAATCAAATAAATATTTACATTTGAAAAGTACAAAGAGAATAAGACTTAGAGTTCTGGATAGGTCTTTGATTTCACTGTTGACACCCGGCGTGTATATCTTGGGTCAGATCAAGTAACAACATGTTCTCATTGAGAACAAATTTAAAAACATCGAAATCACCAGGCTTACTAACGGTCATCGAAAACTTCTACGTGTCTCTTGGTACAGCGAAGCCGAATACTTCTCAACTTACATTTATCTGTGAGCTGTCCACTGAAAGCATGAAATCGGAAACAAACCCTTGAATATCGAGACATTGCTACAAAGTATTGAAAAGCAGAGTTGATGATATCTAGAAACGGAAAATTCACAAGAGAGCAAGCAAAATACCACGATTATACAGCTTGATAGATACCTATCCCAGTTGTTTCGTTGTAGAAGAATACCGAGATAGACGGCAGATGAAGAAGAGACTGTCGTTCCCATGATTCCATATCAGCTATTTAAACGCAAAAACATAATCAATATATCTGAACGTGAAATTGACTGAGTTGGCAAAGTCTTAGTGCCCTGTTTTGAATCAGCTCTGTTGTAAATTCATCCCCATGGTTCCGAAAGTCCGTTGGTAGAATTTACAAACGTTTCACAATAATGTCAGCTAGAAATTCAATCATTGTCGCAATTTAATCCTCAGTTAACATTTGAGTTCAAAAATTACGATCGTGCTCTTATTTATGGTGTACGTTGTTATCGTCCTTGTTTATGGTGTACGTTGTTATCGCCGTTGTTTATAGTGTACGTTGTTATCGCCGTTGTTTATGGTGTACGTTGTTATCGCCCTTGTTTATAGTGTACGTTGTTATCGCCCTTGTTTATGGTGTACGTTGTTATCGCCCTTGTTTATGATGTACGTTGTAATAGCCCTTGTTTATGATGTGCGTTGTTATCGCCCTTGTTTATGGTGTGCGTTGTTATCGCCCTTGTTTATGGTGTACGTTGTTATCGCCCTTGTTTATGGTGTACGTTGTTATAGCCCTTGTTTATGGCGTACGTTGTTATCGCCCTTGTTAATGGCGTACGTTGTTATCGCCCTTGTTAATGGCGTACGTTGTTATCGCCCTTGTTTATGATGTACGTTGTTATCGCCCTTGTTTATGGTGTACGTTGTTATTGCCAATGTTTATGGTGTGCGTTGTTATCGCCCTTGTTTATGGTGTGCTTTGTTATAGACTTTGTTTATGATGTACGTTGTTATCGCCCTTGTTTATGGTGTACGTTGTTATCACCCTTGTTTATGGTGTACGTTGTTATCGCCCTTGTTTATGGTGTACGTTGTTATTGCCAATGTTTATGGTGTGCGTTGTTATCGCCCTTGTTTATGGTGTACGTAGTTATCGCCCTTGTTTATGGTGTATGTTGTTATAGCCTTTGTTTATGATGTACGTTGTTATCGCCCTTGTGTTATCGCCCTTGTTTATGGTGTACGTTGTTATCGCCCTTGTTTATGATGTACGTTGTAATAGCCCTTGTTTATGATGTGCTTTATTATCGCCCTTGTTTATGGTGTGCGTTGTTATCGCCCTTGTTTATGGTGTACGTTGTTATAGCCCTTGTTTATGGTGTACGTTGTTATCGCCCTTGTTAATGGCGTACGTTGTTATCGCCCTTGTTTATGATGTACGTTGTTATCGCCCTTGTTTATGGTGTACGTTGTTATTGCCAATGTTTATGGTTTGCGTTGTTATCGCCCTTGTTTATGGTGTGCTTTTTTATAGCCTTTGTTTATGATGTACGTTGTTATCGCCCTTGTTTATGGTGTACGTTGTTATCACCCTTGTTTATGGTGTACGTTGTTATCGCCCTTGTTTATGGTGTGCGTTGTTATTGCCAATGTTTATGGTGTGCGTTGTTATCGCCCTTGTTTATGGTGTACGTAGTTATCGCCCTTGTTTATGGTGTGCGTTGTTATAGCCTTTGTTTATGATGTACGTTGTTATCGCCCTTGTGTATGGTGTACGTTGTTATCGCCCTTGTTTATGGTGTACGTTGTTATCGCCCTTGTTTATGGTGTGCGTTGTTATAGCCCTTGTTTATGGTGTGCGTTGTTATAACACTTGTTTATGGTGTACGTTGGTATCGCCCTTGTTTATGGTGTACGTTATTATCACCCTTGTTTATGGTGTACGTTGGTATCGCCCTTGTTTATGGTGTACGTTATTATCACCCTTGTTTATGGTGTGCGTTGTTATCACCCATGTTTATGGTGTACGTTGGTATCGCCCTTGTTTATGGTGTACGTTATTATCACCCTTGTTTATGGTGTGCGTTGTTATCACCCATGTTTATGGTGTACGTTGGTATCGCCCTTGTTTATGGTGTACGTTATTATCACCCTTGTTTATGATGTACGTTGTTATCACCCTTGTTTATGGTGTACGTTGGTATCGCCCTTGTTTATGGTGTACGTTGTTATTGCCTTGTTTATGGTGTACGTTGTTATTGCCAATGTTTATGGAGTGCGTTGTTATAGCCCTTGTTTATGGTGTACGTTATTATCACCCTTGTTTATGGTGTGCGTTGTTATCACCCATGTTTATGGTGTACGTTGGTATCGCCCTTGTTTATGGTGTACGTTATTATCACCCTTGTTTATGATGTACGTTGTTATCACCCTTGTTTATGGTGTACGTTGGTATCGCCCTTGTTTATGGTGTACGTTGTTATTGCCAATGTTTATGGAGTGCGTTGTTATAGCCCTTGTTTATGGTGTACGTTGTTATAACCCTTGTTTATGGTGTACGTTGTTATCGCCCTTGTTTATGGTGTACGTTGGTATCGCCCTTGTTTATGGTGTACGTTATTATCACCCTTGTTTATGATGTACGTTGTTATCACCCTTGTTTATGGTGTACGTTGTTATCGCCCTTGTTTATGGTGTGCGTTGTTATAGCCCTTGTTTATGATGTACGTTGTTATCGCCCTTGTTTATGGTGTGCGTTGTTATAGCCCTTGTTTATGGTGTATGTTGTTATAGCCCTTGTTTATGGTGTAAGTTGTTATCGCCCTTGTTTATGGTGTACGTTGTTATCGCCCTTGTTTATGGTGTACGTTGTTATCGCCCTTGTTTATGGTGTGCGTTGTTATCGCCCTTGTTTATTCACACATTCAACCAATCTGATCTGATATATGTTTCCTAATTGAATTGCACTGTTTAATGTTGAAAGCTATTAATGTAACACCGCACCGTAATATATCTTTTCATGTTCATTTTCAGGTCAGGAATACAATTTTAACAAACTGACAGAAAGTGAAGTGAATTCTCTTGGAGAGGAGTATGACTATGGAAGTATCATGCACTATGCCACCAACACATTTGCCAGAGCAACCTATGTAGACACTATCCTGCCGAGGCAGAAAACGGATGTGTATCCAGAGATAGGACAAAGAGTCCGTCTCAGTTCCGGGGACATAAGACAAGCGAACAAATTATACAAATGTCAAAGTAAGTTATCACAAACAATTACATCAAATTATACAAATGTCAAAGTATGTTATCACAGACAATTACATTTAATGTATTTTTTGTAGTTGTAGTTTTATAAAAAATGTTATGATAAAGGTGTAATTTTTTCAAATTAATTTAGGAGAGGACCGACATAAGTGTTATCAGTGTGTTGCTTTTGAGCTGTATGTCGTGGTTGTAATTATGGAGATATACACAGATGTTTGGTGTGTTAAATTTGTTAACTGTCATGGAGACTCGGGCAATTTTAATCTAATTGTGATAATGAATACGATTATAGATAAGACTTTCTATAGCTCAATATTTCGACATTCCGTAATAAGATTTCAACTTTAACTATCTACTATAGTAAACAAGATAAGACATGTTAAATTAAACATCAAACATGTACTCTGGAGAACCTCACAATATAAGACATCTTAACTTAAGAGTGTATAGGTCTTGCTTCAGTAGTAGTTCTGACTGCTTCAGTCATTGTTTTAATTGAACGACAGTGTAATTATTAAGCTGTAGTCGAGGTCGTCACTCGGATGTTCTCAGACTGATTAAATTAAAGCTCTGCATGGTGTGGTAGGATGGTGAAGGTTTGTGTCCAGAACCCCCAACAGCGTTCTATCATCAGCAATGGTGTGTTAACTGGCAGTCATTCATCATCAAACTCTCATCCTCTTTAACATGTACCTACACAGCAGGCGAGCTACATCATCTGTTTTGACAACCTTAACTCACACTAAACCACGTATGTCACACCTGATTAGTACTAGCTCTCTAATACAACAGTCGCTCCCAAAACATATTCTGTCTGTTTAAAATAAATTTCAAATCATTCTGTCGGTCGCTACCATGTCAAAAACATATTCTGCCTGTCGGTCCGAAGTCAAAGCCTCATTTTGTCTGTCGCTCCCAAGTCAAAAACTTATTTTGTCTGTCGCTCCCAAGTAAAAAACAAATTCTGTCTGTCGCTCCCAAGTCAAAAACGTATTTTGTCTGTCGCTCCCAAGTAAAAAATACTTTCTGTCTGCAAAAGCTTCAGGTTTTTACTGTTGTGAAGATTATGTCGGGAGGAATGGTGATAAATGTTGCATCCTGACGTATTTGTTGCTGCAGAGATTTAAATAGTACGTTAGAGTTAGCATAGAACCGCTGAAACTGCGACGCCAGGATGACATGATCACAAGTAAAACTATCTGCGAAGCCATTCTACACCTTTAGCATGTCGATACAGTTCGTAAGTGGTGCGCTCTAATCCACCTGACGTGTGGAAGGAAAGGTTCCGTATGAGTCAGCACACCTTGTGTATCATTTCAAACACGCCTCCTGATTTATTGATGGAGGATATGATCTTTTTTAAACGATCATTAAGTAACAAATAAAAAGGATGATATGTGTATGATAAAGGCAGTGGCGGTGACGTAGCTGAACCAGATGTTGGAGTCAGGATGGGGTAAACATCCCTCTAGTTTGACTGACTTAATTGCAATTTAAACACGATGTTTTGCGGATGTAACTGCACCGACTTACACAGAAGGCGAGAGATAAATCATCGTTCAATAAAAGTGTATTTGTCTCAAGTAATCAGAGCAGCTGTTTAGTTTCGTATGAGCGATACGATATAAACTTCAAAACTCAATGTTACTTACCATCCTTTGATAAAACTGAAGAGCTGCTGTTTTAGATGTCATAGGGGTGACTGACTTCTGTGAACTAGGAATGTTGAATGAAAAAGCAGGTGGGGTAAGGGAGAGGTGGTAATCGGGTGAGAAGATAGGGATGGGATTCAGGGAGGGAAACTAATAGGGAAGAGAGTCAGAGAGGGAAAGTAAAGGAAAGGGGGTCAGGGAGGGTGGTTATAGGGAGGGGAGTCAGGGAGGGTGGTTATAGGGAGGGGAGTCATGGAGGGTGGTTATAGGGAGGAGAGTCAGGGATGGTGGTTATAGGGAGGGGAGTCAGGGAGGGTGGTTATAGGGAGGGGAGTCAGGGAGGGTGGTTATAGGGAGGGGAGTCAGGGAGGGTGGTTATAGGGAGGGGAGTCAGGGAGGATGGTTATAGGGAGGGGAGTCAGGGAGGGTGGTTATAGGGAGGGGAGTCAGGGAGGGTGGTTATAGGGAGGGGAGTCAGGGAGGGTGGTTATAGGGAGGGGAGTCAGGGAGGGTGGTTATAGGGAGGAGAGTCAGGGAGGGTGGTTATAGGGAGGGGAGTCAGGGAGGATGGTTATAGGGAGGCGAGTCAGGGAGGGTGGTTATATGGAGGGGAGTCAGGGAGGATGGTTATAGGGAGGGGAGTCAGGGAGGATGTCTATAGGGAGGAGAGTCAGGGAGGGTGGTTATAGGATGGAGAGTCAGGGAGGGTGGTTATAGGGAGGAGAGTCAGGGGAGGTAAAAGTTAAGGGAGTCAGAGAGGGAATATTAAAGTGAAGGGAGTCAGGGAGGGAATATTAAAGTGAAGGGAGTCAGGGAGGGAATATTAAAGTGAAGGGAGTCAGGGAGGGAATATTAAAGTGTAGGGAGTCAGGGAGGGAATATTAAAGTGAAGGGAGTCAGGGAGGGAATATTAAAGTGAAGAGAGTCAGGGAGGGAATATTAAAAAGGGAGTCAGGGAGGGAATATTAAAGTGAAGGGAGTCAGGGAGGGGATGAAATGGGGAAGGGAGTAAGGCATGAAAGGTAATAGGAAGTGAGGTGTGAGAGAGGGATATGTTTTAGTCGTCTGGCATTAGCTGTATTTTTGCATAGTCATTAGCACCTGTTGTCTGCACAGGAGTGAGCTCAGCTCCAGACCAGACATCAAATACATGCTTTACAGCTCACCTGCTTTCTGTTGGTAAATCAAACATAACACGGTCGGTCTTCATTATCAGACAGACAAACTTACTAAACAGGTTTGACATATGGCTGACATAATCACTCAAGAAATCTTCTGGGTATAGTCAGGTGCTAGAGATCATTTATATATCGAGATACATACATTACTAATATAAGTCGAGATAAAGAAATTACTGATATGGTCGAGATAAAGAGATTAGTAATATTGTCATGCGATAGAATTTTTTTATATGTCGAGGTACACAGATTACTAATATGGTAAAGATCAAGAGATTACTTATATGGTCAGGTGACATGGATCGTTCATATGTCGAGATACGTAGATTACTGTTATGAACGGTTTCAGATGTTACCGATATAGTCGCAATAGAAAGTTCACTTATGTCGTCGTTTCTCGTTAGATAAAAAACATGTACCAGGATAGATACAATAGTCTTATTTTCTTAATATGCGTTTATATACGTACGGTAGATATTCTAGAGAACATACAACATTATAGACCAACATGTACGGTAGATATTCTAGAGAACATACAACATTATAGACCAACATGTACGGTAGATATTCTAGAGAACATACAACAATATAGACCAAAATGTACGGTAGATACTCTAGAGAACATACAACAATATAGACCAAAATGTACGGTAGATACTCTAGAGAACATACAACAATATAGACCAACATGTACGGTAGATACTCTAGAGAACATACAACATTATAGACCAACATGTACGGTAGATATTCTAGAGAACATACAACATTATAGACCAACATGTACGGTAGATATTCTAGAGATATTCTAGAGAACATACAACAATATAGACCAAAATGTACGGTAGATATTCTAGAGAACATACAACAATATAGACCAAAATGTACGGTAGATATTCTAGAGAACATGCAACAATATAAACCAACATGTACGGTAGATACTCTCAGTAACATAAATAATATGTTTGTTTTCTAGGTTTTAACAATATGTACGAACGTCTGTTCTATATAAATTATATCTAATGTATAAATCTAATGAATACAGATGTATACATATCCGTGAAATTTATACTGTTTACGAAAACAAACAAAACAGGGAGCAGCATTTCTTTTGCAAACTGAGTTATAAACATCGAACTGTTGTGATGCTGGATTAATTAATACAGACTCCTAGGTAGATTATACTTCTCAGAGTAATGTCTAACGATAGGTCTTTTAAACACACCACACGACATAGATGTTTGTCAACACAACTTTGACATTTGTATCCTTCTTTTCCAATTAAGGTTCCACTTGGGGTACAGAAATCCCACGTCGGTACCCAGCGTGCGACGCTACCGTCTTACGCACGCAAAAGATAGTTGAATTAGAATAAAGGATTGACATGTGTCGTTTTCAGAGTTACATATATCTACATATGTCAGTGACATGTAAATGATTAAAGAGTTGAACATTGTCTCGTTTTAGAATGCGGCAGAACCCTTCAGGAATCTATAGCGGAATTTTCCCACACACCTAATGCAAACGAGGCGGAGATGTGTCACTGGAGAATATCGGCGACCCACGGGGAGAAGATCGTTCTTAATTTCACCGCCGTTGACATTCCAGAAACAGTGGGCTGTGAAACAGACTACCTGGAAATCCGAGATGGTCACTACATCAGATCTCCTCTTCTTGGTCAGTTTTATCTTATGATACACCTGTAGTATTACATGTTTATACCTAATTATATATTTGTTTTATGTCCTATTGGTATTGTCTGTTGCCTATTGATTATTGTAACATATTTGAAGCTATAAACGTATTCTCAGGCTGTCCAAATAAGTTCACCTTATTATCCAATCCGAGTCTATGTCTTGCTACAGTGTCTTTTGTCCGCTCGTCCATCTCTCAGATTATCGTAATGTATCGTAGATATGGAGAATGGTGACGTAACACATTTTATCGTAATGTATCGTAGATATGGAGAATGGTGACGTAACACATTTTATCGTAATGTATCGTAGATATGGAGAATGGTGACGTAACACATTTTATCGTAATGTATCGTAGATATGGAGAATGGTGACGTAACACATTTTATCGTAATGTATCGTAGATATGGAGAATGGTGACGTAACACATTTTATCGTAATGTATCGTAGATATGGAGAATGGTGACGTAACACATTTAAATTCTCGATTTATTTCACAAAGTCCAGTTTTTATCATTGTTTTGTTAGACTCGTTTTATTTCCGTTGAACCCTCTGACGGTAAATAAACATAACTTGCGGTCAAATATTTTAATGAGTAGTCAGATAATCCAGCATGATCACAACACAATCAATTGGAACGATGTTGAAAACACGCAAAGAACATATCTGTTATGTTGTTTCTGACTAGATTATAACGCTACTTTGACAATTTTCTTACCCTTAACAAGAAAATTATATACACAAAAATCAATATATATATATATAGATTATCAATATCAAAAATCAATAAAACCATTGCTAATTGATCGGACTACTTGATTAACATGGTTATAATTTCCTGTGCTGTGACTGAGGCCGTGTCACAGCAGATATCATTATAGACATATTGATTACGTCATCTACCTTAATTACCCTACAGACAATCCAGTCTTTAACAAGGGCGTAAAATATACATACAAGCTTGACGATACAGGCCATTTCGTTTCTTGTTGTTGGAAATTTGGAAAAAGTAAACTTCGATTTTTAGCAACAGATATGTTTAAATCTTTTCCGGACAGATCTGAAAATAATCCTACGTTCTACAGGATAAACATTAGCAATTCTGACCTGATAATTGTTCATTTGTAGAGTTTATAGCATAATGAAGCGTAATTGTATGACAGACAGGAAAAGAGTAACCCAAGTCAGTTATGATGCTGTCTGTGTTATGTAGCGTGGCTGAACAACAGCGATGCGGTGATTTAGAACCTTGTATCTAATGACTATATCGGAAATACAGGCTGATTACAATGTTTCTCCAACATTACCATTGGTACAGCGTGTCCTGGTCAATTGTGTGTGAGGTCGGTTGAATGTAACAATGGATGAGAGCATTTAACGGCTGGTGGAGGGGCGATGTATCGTGCTAAATGGACAGGTTTAGACGCGTAAGTGGCAGGGTATATCCATCGTAACATTGACAGGACTCCATCGATCTGAAAAGTTGACTCACAAGTCCGTCATGGATTCCTCTAACCATAAAAACCTACAAATGATTGCAGTATTATGGGTGTTGTACTTTTTGCCAGGATTAAGTATCAATAAAATACTCTGAAACGGGTTAGAAAGTGTTGGACGGGCAATTAAAATCATTCTCTCTCTCTGATAAAACAAATAACAGAAAATCTCTGCGCGATAAAAAAAAAGCATAAAAGATACTGTCAAGTTTATGTTCACGACCGACACGTTCAGGGCTGCAGACTGACGAAGTAGTAGTGGATGCTACAGTTTCAGCAACAGGAAACAACAAATACGATTGTACACAGGACAACAATGTTACATGTAGGCGGAAGAGTTTCAGCAACAGAAAGCAAAATTGTAGGCGGACGGATATAAATTGGGGCACGAAATTGTTTGTTTATACCTTAAAACTCTCGAGACAAAAACTATAGGTAATCGACACGGAATTCTTTTTTAAAACCATACAATACACGAGACAAACACTATAGCTAATCTGGACACTTTTATATAAGTTGTTCGACACAAAGATGTAGATCGCAACATACAGAGTCGATTTAATAGCGAAGAAGAAGAAGTTGTGTGTAGAAGTTAGAAATATTTCCGTGAATATGTACGATCTGACGACAACTCCTTACTGCACTATTACTCTGTCTAGACACTTCTATCTCGATAGTTCGTCTTTGTAAATTAAGCTCCCCACTATAGACCGCCGAGTTCCGATCTGTGCGATACCATGAGGTACTACATAAACTTGGCATCTAAGAATGCACATCTGATGCATTTCTTGTAACTTATAATGTACTTTGTAGGACAGCATTACGACACCTGGTGCAGCAATGTTACAACGTCAGGTTGGCAATCGTCCATTATCATGTTCTATTTTAGTGAAATGAGCTCATTCTTGTTCACTAGAATTTTATTGCCACAGTTTATAAAATTGTGTTTTATAGCATTGCCATGTTCTGACCTGTAGTGGTAAGTGGTATACCAAAATGCACGAGGTTAATAATTTGTGGTGCAAAGAATCTGAAAACGGACACTCAAAGGTATAGGGTCAGTATTGAGTGGTACAAAGAGTCCAAAAAACGGACACTAAAAGGTATAGGGTTAGTAATTAGTGCTGCAAAGGATCCGAAAAGACACTAAAAGGTTTAGGGTCAGTAATGAGTGGTACAAAGAGTCAAAAAACGGACACTGAAAGGTTTAGGATCAGTAATGAGAGGTACATGGGGTCAAAAACGGACACTAAAAGGTATGGGGTCAGTAATGAGAGGTACATGGGGTCAAAAACGGACACTGAAAGGTTTAGGATCAGTAATGAGAGGTACATGGGGTCAAAAACGGACACTAAAAGGTATAGGGTCAGTAATGAGAGGTACAAAGAGTCAAAAAACGGACACTGAAAGGTTTAGGATCAGTAATGAGAGGTACATGGGGTCAAAAACGGACACTAAAAGGTATGGGGTCAGTAATGAGAGGTACATGGGGTCAAAAACGGACACTGAAAGGTTTAGGATCAGTAATGAGAGGTACATGGGGTCAAAAACGGACACTAAAAGGTATAGGGTCAGTAATGAGAGGTACATGGGGTCAAAAACGGACACTGAAAGGTTTAGGATCAGTAATGAGTGGTACAAAGAGTCCGAAAACGGACACTGAACGGTATAGGGTCAGTAATGAGAGGTACAAGGGGTCAAAAACGGACACTGAAAGGTATAGGGTCAGTAATGAGTGGTACAAAGAGTCCAAAAACGGACACTGAAAGGTATAGGGTCAGTAATGTGTAGTACAAAGAGTCCGAAAACGGACACTGAAAGGTATAGGGTCAGTAATGTGTGGTACAAAGAGCCGAAAACGGACAATAAGGTATAGGGTCAGTAATGTGTGGTACAAAGAGTCCGAAACCAGACACTGAAAGGTATAGCGTCAATAAGTAGTGGTACAAAGAGTCCAGAAACGGACACTCAAAGGTATAGAGTCAGTAATGTGTGGTACAAAGAGTCCAAAATGGCTGCTGAAAAGTATGATGTCATTAACACATATACGAATGAGAAAATGCAATTGCGTTACTTGATAGTGATTATATGTACAATGTATAAAAGTAATTGAAGATCCAGAACGCGTTCCTGCAAGAACTACAACCAGTCATCTTCTTTGAAATACAGCGGAATTTTAGGTGAGTAACGAAATAAAGTTGTTTCAGGTCGTTACTGTGGCGATCGAATTCCACCAACTCTCACATCCTCGGACAGTCGCATGTGGTTGGAGTTCAGGTCAAGCAGAGGTCAGGGGACAGGCTTTAGCGCACAGTATGAAGGTAAGGTCAACGGTTGGAGGTTTTTCGATGTCAGTTAAACATCATCCAAAGGATTTCCGAGGAGCATCGTTTGTCCGTTGGGCTGGTATAATCCAGTGGTTTGCGATGTTCTCAGAATGGTTGAAATGAATTAATTTTACCAGTGTTTCCAGCCATATTAGATCATAAGTGTTTGATTCTATGCTGTTTACTGGTATTGCGTTCCACATACTGTGTACTTCGCGTTGGAGATTCGGCGTGAATTGTATATTTTGATTGGCTTGTGGATAAAATTAAAGTCATTGCAACTACATGTACATGAAAACAGGTTTCCGTGGGACACCAAGAGTTCCCTTGGGTTCATCACACGGAAACAATGAAGGTACAAAGGTCAAAGTTTAAGGTCATTGGTATACTAAATAAAACAGATGATGTACAAATCTTTGTGTCTTGAATTCCACCTGTTGTTGGAAACACATTCGACGCATCTTGTTTTCACTAATTCACCTCTTTGTTATATTTAGCGATTTGTGGCGGTGAGATCTACAAGGAGAATGGACAACTGACTAGTCCGAACTATCCTGATGACTACAAACCGAACAAAGAGTGCGTCTGGAAAATCTCTGTAGAGGAAGACTACTCTGTGGCACTCAAGTTCCAGTCGTTTGAGGTAGGTAAATCTCAGGTCCAGTCGTTTGAGGTAGGTGTTTCTCGGGTCCAATCGTTTGAGGTAGGTGTTTCTCGGGTCCAGTCGTTTGAGGTAGGTAAATCTCAGGTCCAGTCGTTTGAGGTAGGTGTATCTCAGGTCCAGTCGTTTGAGGTAGGTGTATCTCTGGTCCAGTCGTTTGAGGTAGGTGTATCTCAGGTCCAGTCGTTTGAGGTAGGTGTATCTCTGGTCCAGTCGTTTGAGGTAGGTGTATCTCTGGTCCAGTCGTTTGAGGTAGGTGTATCTCAGGTCCAGTCGTTTGAGGTAGGTGTATCTCAGGTCCAGTCGTTTGAGGTAGGTGTATCTCAGGTCCAGTCGTTTGAGGTAGGTGGTCCAGTCGTTTGAGGTAGGTGTATCTCAGGTCCAGTCGTTTGAGGTAGGTGTATCTCTGGTCCAGTCGTTCGAGGTAGGTGTATCTCAGGTTCAGTCGTTTGAGGTAGGTGTATCTCAGGTTCAGTCGTTTGAGGTAGGTGTATCTCGGGTTCAGTCGTTTGAGGTAGGTGTATCTCAGGTTCAGTCGTTTGAGGTAGGTGTTTCTAAGCACCAGTCATTTTAGGTAGGTGTATCTCAGGAATGTCTTCACTTCACTACTAATATTTATACTAATATGTTGTATGCGATAGATATTGTAAGGGAATATCTTCCATTTATAGTTAGTATCTAGGGCTAACCATTTGAAGTTGGTCGGTTTTGGTCATATGAGACAAAGTTTGATGCTGACCTATCCCGATCACCTCCGGCGTCATGCGTAACAACTTAACATTTTAGACTTCCCAAAAACCCTAGAACCGATTTTGATGAAATTTTACAGAAACATTTCCTGGCCTAAGATGAACCAAAATAGTGAATAATACTGTCCCCCGTCGCATAGGGGGCTGGGGCGGGGCCAAAATGGGTCAGATTGACACGGATTTCAAAAGTCTTCTTCTCAACACCCAGAAATGGTAGAATCAAATGTTCTAGGTGGATAGAAGCTTTTCCGAAAAAGTGAATTCCATGGCCTTGGATTTCAAAAGTCTTCTTCTCAGTTACTTTAAATTTTATAGAAAACATTTTAGCATAACGTTATTTTCCTCTGGATAAAACTTTTTAGGGATTCTTTATTATAGGATGACAGTTTTGATGGTACGCAGATATTGAATTGACACTGACTTGCTATCATCAATGTCACAATTTCTTTTCCATGACACTTAAAAGCTGCCCTTTAACCTTTATAATCAATATTGCTCATCTTAGGAGACTGTCAAGGCCACTAGGCCTCTTGTTTTCAGAATGTCTCAACTTTATCGCGTGTCTGTCTCCCGTCGTTTGATGTAGGACTTGCTCAAACTTAAGTGTCTTGCTCCGATCGCCTTAGGTTTTTTATGTCTTGATCGAATCATCTGAGGCAGATATCGTTCATGAATTTCTTCATTCATTCTTAGCGTCTTCTTTCTGTTGTTTGAGGCACGTCTTGTTCAAGAATGTTTCCACTTCATGTTTAGTGTTTATTCCCGTCCTTTGAAGTAGGTCTTGTTCTTAAGTTTTCAGTTTCGTTTGAAGTAGGTCTAGTTTATTAGGAAGAGGTATCGTGTTACACTGTCGTATCTCTCCATATGACCCTTTGATCACGTTGCCAGTTGATCTTTGTTTTTCACATTATAACTAAGGTAAATATGTTACAAAATTATTAGATTATGGTCACACCTCAATATATTCAGCAACATCAGTTGATTTTTAAAGAATGGCCGTCAGAGCACTTTGTTTACCACTAGTATCCAGACCAAGTCAAGTTTTTTTTATCTTTGGTCTTCGTAGACCACTATGGTCTTATTTACAAACCTAAAACAGAAATATCGACAAGCCAGTGGAATCATAGTTCAATCCTATGTTTAATGAAACTAGGGCAAAATATGAAGAAAAGATTTACGTGAAGACTCCTGGAAAAGTACAAGGAGAAAAAGAACCAATAGGTGTACTAATGAGCTTCAACTACGTCAAACTTCATCCCGCACAAGGAATTGTAGAAACATTGTATTTTTCACTATCGCTGCCACATCATTATCTCATGATCGTCTTCAACCTGCATTTCTATAACCCAGTTTCTTTGTCAGTTGCTTACTTGTTGCACGATATTACTGACATTGGGAACAAATCCTTGAACATCGAATCAACTGCAACATGTTAACACTATAGGTTTGGGATGCAGGGGTGTTCCTAGCATGGAATCGAACGTTCACAATAGGGAAGTTGAAATCATTACATTTAATATACAGCTTGTTGGAGAGTTGTCTCTTTTAATATCGTTTGTTGGGAACGAGGTAGGAAGCTGATGTAGAAGAGAATGTCGTGTCAACGAAGATTTGGCTATCCATAACGAAATTTACACGCGGTAATGACGGATTCGATAAATTCATAGGTCCTCTAAAATCCAGACTGATATTCAAAACAAATAAGTTTTTTCGCCATTAGTGACTGAGATCAGTTCCGCTATGCTTTCATCAATATTTCGGAAGCAACGCTAAGCTGGCTGTGTTCCAAATATTATCTGGTATTTAATTATTTTACTATTAGAGAGGCAGGCAGATGTATTAACAGCATATTTAAAAAGCCTGTGATCCTCTCACAGACCACACCTGCTCTACAGGTAATTGTGTTACACAGAACGGGGCTGTACAGGGTAATTATCTACACAGGCAACAAGTACAACAGTTACGTCAATCTATTTGACAGCATAAACAAGCTAGAAATTTAGATGTCCGTGCCAACATCAATGTATTAACCATTCTGCTTGATTTTGCAACCAAACTGACGTTTGGTGGTCGTTTTAACTCATTAAACGTATTGCTCTTAAGGTTCCCAGGTTTTTTTTGATCGAAGCGTTATAATTTTAACTTTATTGTGTTCTTTACACAGATTGAAAACCATGACAACTGCGTTTATGACTATCTGGAGATACGGGATGGACATGAAGATAATTCACCCCTAATTGGCAGATTCTGTGGATATAAAATCCCGGAAGATATCAAATCTACAGGAAACAAGTTATACGTGAAGTTTGTGTCTGACGGCTCTGTACAAAAAGCTGGTTTTGCCGCTTCGTTCGTAAAGGGTAGGTCATCATTTCTGGAACAATCTTAGATTTTGTGCAAGATCAGCTGGACCGTCACGTGGCTGTTTTATTTAATAGCATTGTGCTTGACCTCTTTATATAATAGAGTATAATTGACCTATTTATATTACAGAGAGTGATAAGTGACATATTTATATTACAGAATGGTGAGTGACCTATCTATATTACAATCTGATAAGTGACCTATTTATATTAGAGAGTGATTAGTGACCTATTTATAGTACATTGTAATGGGTGACTTATTTACATTACAGAGTATGATGAATGTGCTACAGACTATCATGGCTGTGACCATATCTGTGTCAACACCCTTGGCAACTTTAAGTGTGAATGTAAAATTGGATATGAACTTCACTCAGACGGCAAGAAATGTGAAGGTAAAGAAGGGAGTGAGACAATTTCTTTTTATGCTTTCATAATCACATGTATCTCTGAACATTTTCTGCGTGTTGCTAATGTCAATAAAATAGAAGGAAAATAACCATAACTACAGGTTTACATATAATAGTAATGTGTTAGCCCATCCTGTTCTTTAATATATTTGATATATTCATATTGTGCATATAGTCACATTACAAACATTGATGAATGTATTGATAATTGTGTCAATCATGATTAATAAAAACTATGTTTATCAGATGCTTGTGGAGGCTACATTGACCTAGCCAATCATGATTAATAAAAACTATGTTTATCAGATGCTTGTGGAGGCTACATTGACCTAGCCAATCATGATTAATAAAAACTCTGTTGATCAGATGCTTGTGGAGGCTACATTGACCTAGCCAATCATGATTAATAAAAACTATGTTTATCAGATGCTTGTGGAGGCTACATTGACCTAGCCAATCATGATTAATAAAAACTATGTTTATCAGATGCTTGTGGAGGCTACATTGACCTAGCCAATGGTACCATTCAGAGTCCGTCGTTTCCGGACTTGTATCCGCCCAACAAGATGTGTGTGTGGGAGATCGTAGCCCCGGACCAGTACAGAATCACTCTCAACTTCACACATTTCGACATGGAGGGCAACAATGTGAGTTGGATTCAATATCCGCTATTGTTTGGAGTCTATATGAAATTTGAAATGATAAAACAAGCCTACCAGCCTTTTCCAGCTCTCAAAAGGTCAAGTAAAGCTTAATTTGAGAGAAAAGTAAGATGATGGTGCTAATTATGTATGTCATTTTTTGCGTTTGGTATTGTCCCCGTGGATAGTACGAAATAAGCTATATACAATAGATGATAAGTATGGATACCAGGAATAATTGAATTGTGTGTTTATGTGACAGCAAGATTGTGAGTATGACTCGGTGAGGGTGAGCAGCGGTGTAGGAACAGAAGCGGTGGTACACGGCATCTTCTGTGGCTCCAATCTTCCTATGCCAATCACCTCTGAGAGCAACACACTCCGAATCGAGTTCAACTCCGATAACTCGGTGCAGAAAACAGGATTCCAAGCTGTCTTCTTTACTGGTGAGATGAAAATTCGGTTAAATCGGTCATTGGTTAGGAATGCATACATTGATCTCTTACCGTGCAATAGAGTTAACATCTTGAAAAAGTTGTATTTGTTGGTATAATGTGATAAAACGGAATACCTTTTAAGTCCCTTGGCTCCGAATGTTTTCTGTTTCATATTTATAAAATGTATGAAGTCGAACAGACCAACAAAATTCTTTTATTCTCCAAGTTTCTGTAATAAAAAGAGCTTCTGATAAATCCCTTCATTCCTTAGTCAATCGAACACTATCACATAAATCACAAAATTTTACAGGCTTTTGCTTTTTTGTTTAAAGTAAAACAATGGTCACCATTATTATAAATGTATAAATGTAGAGTCAGGTCTCTAAAGGTGAGAGTAGGTGTATCACTTGCTGTGGTTTGTTGGTTTTGTGATGAAAGAAATGACAAGATGCTATAGTATAATTATAAACCTACTGTCTCGGGAACCAGGCTAAGTACAATAATTCCATGCTAGATACATTGGACTATCTGCCAAGCATATCTAAGCAGTGAAGGACAGTAATTCCAGTGAGTTGTTTGGTGATCTAGCTATGATTCGTGGTCTGACATCCGCGAACGATATTGTTTGAATATATTCATTGGTCACATCAGAAAGTATTGTGATTTGCAGACATGGACGAATGTGCTGTAAACAATGGAGGGTGTCAACACATCTGTAAGAATACAGTTGGGAGTTATGAGTGCGCATGTCACAATGGATTTACCCTGCATGAAAACAATCACGACTGTAAGGAAGGTAAGGTCTACAGCAGCCATATGTTAAATCTACCGTTCACAGTTTCTGTTGTTTCATAGTTTTAAGGCCAATGACGTCATCTGAGTCGTTTTAATCGGTTTTGGTGTTTGTTAACTCATGCAACAGCATATCAAATGTATTTCATTTCAGAATATTTTATTGTCTTGATGTTTGTAACAAATGGAATTGGGCAATAGGCAGAGCCTATGAAAGCCCTCTCCATACAACTTAAACAAGTACACAGACACATCAATCAAAATTTAAGATATCAAATAATAATGATAGCATTCCAGGAAAAGAATTTAGAATATAGATTCAGTTGAATCAATGGATTGTTGTTAAGGTGATACATATTCGGAATTCATTTTGTTGTCCATTTCGATACTTGAACCAGGTGGGTGTCAACACACCATTAGTGATCCTCAAGGCGAGATCAGCAGTCCCAACTGGCCGGACTACTACCCAAGCCGGAAAGACTGTGTGTGGCAATTCACGACCACGGAAGGACACAGGATCAAACTTGTGTTCCAGCACTTTGAATTGGAACCACATCAAGAATGTACATACGACCATATTGAGATATTTGACGGCAAAGACTCCAACGCTCGAAGTCTAGGTAGATTCTGTGGCAGCAGTATCCCTCGTCCCATCAGCTCCAACAGTAATGTAATGTATATGGTCTTCTACTCGGATGCGTCTGTACAACGTAAGGGATTCCACGCCAATCACAAGACGGGTACGTTATAGATGTTGGAGGCTCTATACAGGTCTATAGTTAATATAAACTTCCTTCGTGTTTACCTGGTACTCTGACTCAGGTAACTTTTATTCTGGTCTGTAATGCTCACCTCACGTCATTTTTAAACAATTCTCTAATCTTAGCTCACACAGGTAACGTTTGTTCTGACCAAATTTAGGTTATTTAAAGACATTTACACAAAGCTTTATTATATGTGTTTTCATGAAGATAAGAGGAAAGTCTCTTCTTTTGTTTGTAAAGAATGCGGAGGGCACCTGACAGCTAAAGACGGTCAACAGAGGCTGTACTCGCACTCAAAGTATGGCGACCAGAACTACGATAACAAGATGGAGTGCGAGTGGGTTATAGAGGCCAAAAGCAACAAGCGTATCAAGTTCTACTTTGTCACGTTTGAAATAGAAGATGAAAGTGAATGCGGGTGAGTTATTTATATCGGATATCACCCGGGACTCTGAATAAGTATGTACAATGTACATAGATAAATACGTTTTTACCGTCTTTCCAAGTGATGAAAGTTATTGAAAACATTTCGCTGACAATTTGACAAAGATGCAAGAAATCTCTGCCAAGGAAGAAGGTCTACAAGGTCACTCTTTGACATGTTCTTTTGTCAATAAATATGTTTAAACTAACTGAAGTAAACTGTTGTCTTTGAACCGTTTTGAGTTAAATTTTGTCAGGCTAATAAGACTGTGATTATTCTAGGTACGACAACGTGGAGATCTATGATGGAATGCATGACACCGATCCCTTGGTCGACAGATACTGTGGAAGCAAGGTTAGTTCAGTGTGAACTAAAGTTATTATAAACAGTAAATAACAGATACACACACACACACACACACACATCTGTAGAAAAGACAATATGATATGTAAGTATTCAACTACAATTAATTGATGTTAAAATCAATCATTGTACAAAGGTGTAAAACCACTCGTGTACTACGGAGATCTGATGCCAGGCATCCTTTTATTTATGTGTGAAACCTTTTTGTTGCAGGTGCCATCTGAAATAATATCTTCAGGTGAATATCTCTTGATTCGCTTCAAATCTGATGACACAATTAACTGGAAGGGATTCTCTGGAATATACCTCCAGACCAGTCCGGAACAGGAGGGACTAGGAGGGCTAAAGCAGCTCCCAAATCTCCGATAGTCTGGACCAGCCTGCCTTTCTATCCATGGATTCGCTAGAATTCCAACTGATCCGAGCCAGTCCACAGCAGGTTTTAGACAAGGGACACCCACAACCTCTACCTTCCATTAGTCTGTCTGCTGATGTTTTACAGGTTCAGACTGTCCTGTACACGTGTTACCTGAATATGAAAGTTTTATACAGGTTATTTTGTGAGCAGGGTCCAAAGCAATAAGCATGATATGGGAAACTGTGGGTGAAAGTGTTCAAAATGAAGGGAGAGATCGAGGGCTCTGTGTTAGCTCAGCACCAAGACTATTTCACTTCTCTACCTCGGTGTAACTCGAGCAGAAGAAGTCACATTTTTGTATATTTTGCGTGTTGTAGGGAGAAATGGAAAGGAAATGCAATAATCAAAATTGGGTATTGTTGAATGTGTTGTTGTTTTGGGTTGTACATATTCCACATTAGTAACTCAGACATGGTTGTGTTTTATATATATATATATATATATATATATATATAGAGTGTAAGGATAGCACATTAAATTAGTATCATTACATTTTTTTTTTACATTTTCTTAAACATATTCATATAAACTAAGTATTGTACCATGTTAGATATAGAGGTCAGAATTTACTTTCTACAGTCAGGCTAGTTATCTTTAATTATTTATACTATGGTGTCAGAATGCGTTAATTTGACATTTTTGATGGATATTACCATGTATTTCCATGAACACTATTGTAACTTGCTATGATATGATTTCGACAAAATTATATATACCATCAACGAGATACACATTAGTTATGGTCCACGAGAGTATACATAAAAATTGTGTAACCTCACTGCTTTTCATTGATATGATAGTGTGGTTATAGACAATGGGAACAAAGCTCGTCATAACACTCTAAGCTCGCTATAATACTCTTTTTTGTACATTGGTATGAATGATTGGGATACTCAAGGCAGGGGCACAAGCTGGTAGAACTGGTATTCACGAATATTTACAAAATGTAGTGCCTCTGAGGGATTAATTTCTCCCAGCTTTGAGTTTTTTCCTCATTTTATAATCGGACCTTCGGCCTTTTCCCGATCAACTGGAAGGCCGCTGTATTGCCGACTTCTTGGCGTCACATCAATGTCGTATTACATGTCGTTATACAACATATGTTTTAAGTATGAGAGTAAATATCAGTTACGTGTCGTACCAGGCACCTGTTATCAGTAAGTTTTCGATATTATTTATTAGTGTGTTTTGCTTGTTGAATTGCTAATGTTACATGTCAATTTGGATGCAAGATAAGGCATATCACCAATTACATCCTATATCATTAGCCTTATTTACATTACAAGGACAGATTAAAACTGTACTAGTACCTCGTGCTCACGTAACAATCTAATTTTAACATTACATATAACGTGTTTAACGATCTACATTGCATATGAAGTCTTAATGAGTCAACTTTTATGTTTATAATGTGTAGTGCTATGTTCGTGACAACATAACATATATCTACGTGTTGCTTGTGTCAACATTACAGGTACACATCTGTTTCGACATTATACATATAACATGTTTGCGAAATAACATTATATGAACAGTGTATGAGAGACCTATATAGGGGTTGTCCTATGAAGGTCTCCGAGTATACATGTTGTATTATTAACATTATATGGATTTGAATTTCATGAAATTTACCTTTAGCTTATTACTATTTCATATTCATTTAATTTTTTAAATATTGTAAATTATTTTGAAAAATAAATGTCATTTTTAAGATACAAGGTTCCCTTATTTTTATGAAGTGCAAGCTTTGACCGAATACTCGCAGCACCAATTCATTCAAATGTGAGGTCAACAGTCAGATCTACCACATCCTCCAGTCGGTATCCTGCACATCGGCCAATGTAATTTAAGCAATATACTTGATTACGTAGACTAAGTGTCATTTGTAGTATGTGAGGGAGACCAAAAAACACTAATTAATCTCGGGTTCAACAATCACCGATGTTCTATCAAATCTGCCTGTAGCATGACATTTCAACATGCCAAGTCCTTCGTGTCATGACATGCAGGTGGTACCCATTGACCACTGCAAGACTTTGGGTGACCAGCAACGCCTCAGTATGGAACGACACTGGATCTACCAACTCCAAACCTGCTACCCACTCGGCATGAACGAGAGATGATCTTGCTACAAAATCAGGTCCGGTCATAATACCTGGCAGCCGGTACATCTCAAGTTACCACTGAGGCAACTAGTATCACCCACCTATCCGCCCCTTTCATAAAAAGGGGGAAAAGGTGGCAAATAATGTCATCCTGCGTTACTTTATCCCTAAAGTATATATAATGCTGAAGTTGAGAAGATACAAGGAAATTTGATTTATAATTGACAAAAGGAGGCATTACATTTGCACTAACGATTTCATTGTACCAGGTAGCGGTACATAATTGAGTGACGTCACAAATTGTTATACCGGTATATATATATATATATATATATATATATATATATATATATATCATATTTGTGTAGTGCATAATGCCATGCTTTGTGGTTCCTTGTCGGAAAGTGTATTTTAGAAAAAGTATTGAAATATATAAGATTATCAATAAAATCTAGGATAATCCAATTTTAGTGAATGTGAATCATATTCATGGACATCTCTGGGGACTTTGGAATAAGCGTTTTAAAACACTTCCGCGCTTCAGGCACAGATTCTTGCTTCCATAGACTGTATATCAGATTGTCCAATCCTCCAACCAATTACTGCGTTTTCCCACGGTTCCTAACATGCACCCACAAAAATGTAGACGAGATATATATTAGATGAGGCCATCATAAATCTGTCGTCAAAGCATTACAACTCGTATGACAGATGCATTTCAAATGTGGTAAAAGCTTCCAGAGAGAACTATCTGGTATCACTAGATTGGGAGGCGCACTTGCGCCATAATTCAACAGCTTTCGTAATTAGATATATCTGATAAATTTAAAATAGCGTCCAGTACATGTAAATGAGTTAAACATGTAGCCTGCGGATTACGGCAAACCTCTGGGACTAAAAGTCTGTTGTCATGGCAATATTTTGTCTTCGTTGTTTTTAATATACCCTTCAAGACGACATACTGGCAACAGAAATACAAATTCGCTCTTAGTCCTATGTTTGGTTCGGTGACTTATTGTTAATGGGGGACTTATGGCACAGCAAGAGAACCGTGACCGACTACTTGGTAAAACTCTCTTTAAGACCGTTTTCATAATCTTAATCCTTCTGTAATATCCTTTTGTCAGTTTCCTTCATTTCAGTAATCAGTCTTCATATTTAAATGATCAATTTCCATGAGCAGAATAATTGCTGAGGATATCTACTATATTTTCCTTACACGACTTTTGTGTGTTCATGTGTGGCAGAGTTTTGCATTGATTCTGGTTTCAGATTTTTAAAGATTTTTTTTCGGTAGGATATAACCATGTTCGATTAGTGATTGCCTTGTTTCTCCGCTGTGGAAAATGGTGCTTAAATGGGAAAACGCAGTTGGAGCCACGGATTCTTGGTCTGGTCTGTAGGTTTCTTGAAGTCGATCGACTTTTCCCGACCTATGTTATCATTCTTTCCTAAGGAAGATGATATTAACGTCAATTTCTGTGGTCTTTGAACCATTTTCTAGCTATTCCTACCAGCTACCTTAAACCCGACAGCATTGTTATTATATAGATAAGTATCATTTTTTGGAGAAGAATAACTTGAAGCTGTTGTATGCAATGGAGATATATCGTATTTATGGCCTTTGTTCTAGATTTCCTGTTCATGCAGACAGTTTTAAAGTAGATTACGTTAGTGTTACGTGACAAAGAATTTGACACTAAATACAGCGATTTTCCAGTTTCCGCCTTCGAGGAGAGTTATTTAGAGCCAATAACGATACAAAAATGTAATTACTGGAAAGGACGTTTCCATTACCAAGATAAAAAGAGTGACTTGGGTCTTTCGGAGGAGCGGACTTGTTTCCGGGACAACAGATATAGCAAAGGACGTACATGTTGGTTGATTGTTGCCGCGATTTGCAGTTTCGGTCAGGCTAGCCCACCTTTACAAATTCCTTAAACTAGGTTGGTGACAACACCGTTTACTTGTTAAGAAATTAGGGCGAAACTTACATAAAACCAATGAAATGCCTTAGAAGCAATGAAGATCTTAGACGAATAAATACGAAACCCAGTTCTGAGATCAGCGGTCAAAATGTGTTATTCACTTGCAAATCTTTTGTATAAACATCAAGATTTAAAGTGATAGACACTGTTGGTGGACTTTCAGTCCCCGAAATTTGCCGTAACCTGCATGCCACTTTAGAATCCATTCGAATAGTTGCACGGTTTAGGATATACACATATACTTCACGTTCTTCTAACATTATCGATGATATTGTTTCCCGCGCCAATGACAACGAGTATAGTTGCGAGACATCGTAGGACGAAATATATAAATGATGTAGTGCAAGTCATTGTCTTTTCATATTATGAACAAATCCTTTTATGTTGAAAGGTACTGTTTTAAAGTTACATATTTCCACTGCACTTGAAAAACAGAATCGATACATTTCAAAGTGCACTTGGTGAAAAGTCTCGATTTTGAAAGCATCTTTTCACGACATGTTTATGACAATTATTTCGACTAGTTTGTATTTTCCTCATCTGCTTTTAAGAATTCAGCAATTCTGGCTAAACATCATTGACTAGAACTGGAAGGACGAAACTGCTGTATGATCAAGTTAAATTCAATGTATTGCACTACCAGATCGATTTCTGAATTCGTTATTCACTTGGATTCAGGAATGATCCATTTTCTAGATCTTTAAAGACTACACCCTGGTACAAATAAGATAGTACTACGATACAGAAATGCATTAAAAAAGCTTATCCGAGACTTCAGATATTGGAAGCGGAAACACCAAGAATAAGGTACGTGAATCTGCAGGTGTTTTAATTCTTTATTGATAAACAGAATACTCCCAATTTCTTATATTTTTCTGATGCTTGCATTTAAATACAATGTCATTTCGAAGAATCAATTTACAACATTTTCGGTGTGTAAAAATTACCAAGATCAATATCTATTTGCCGATGATGTAATTCCTATATCATCTGTAGCAAATGGTACTTCATACCTGACAACAAGGCTACACGTCAAGCACACAAACAAAATAAGATTGTCTTGTTTTCGTGGTGTTTTATTCCACATTCTTGGTTTTTATCTTACATATGTACAAATTAATTCTACCACTATATAGATAGGAAACTGGAAATCAATGACATCAATGAAATCATGAACCAATGAGAAGAAATGACCCCCACATGAAATACAAACTATTTAAGAATCCTCAGAGCCATGTACTTTACAGTTATAAGTATTGCCATCTTGACTGAAGTTGTGACGATGATACCTCTAACGTAGCCGGTGTATCACTATCAGTAGATATAGGGTCAACATATAGGCTACCCGGCTCCTATGACAAATTAATAAAATGCAATAAAATGGCATCTTCTGTGACTGCTAACTCGCAATATGTACAGCGTACTATAATAACTTTTAAAGTTATGTCTCCCATACTTTAATGTAAGTATTCCCCAAAAACAATACAGAACACACTGGAAATGTTATAGTCACTGGTACATATTCAATTATCATTCATAATTCTGGAATATATCTACATTCTCTCACCAAGCAAATACAGAAACTTCATACTCCTGACATAAACTTTGAAGAAATAATTTAACATTTCACAACAACAGTATCGTGTAACAAGCACTCCAATAATGAATGTACATATGTCTTACACTTCCATCATCACAAGGTATTCTTGAATGTTAGTAACTACATAAGGCTGGTTACAATTAAAACCAACATACAGCTAAAATCTTACAGGTATAAATTAATATGTTAAATATGTCTATCGCTCATGGTCTCTAATCATTTTGGTAACGAGTTCAATACCAATTTTTCTGTGATGATATTGTCATAGTAAAACACTTAAAAAGCAGTCTTCCATAAAGTTCAAAATAACAACACAGCATTCTCAATACATCAACTTCCAAACACAATCTTTGTAAAATATAAAGCATTTTTATTGTCGCACCTGCATGTACAACTGATGTAATTTCATGGTAATTATAGAATTTTGAAGGAAGTCAGATCTAATTTTTTCCTAGCTTGGTTCTGTATTTCCTTTCTTTTGTTTTTTAAATCTAAAAAAATCCTATTTCCCCAGACATCCGTTCATTCTGTCTTCTAAAAAATTGACAGTCATCAAATCCATGTTCTGGCAATCACATACCAGATAACCAACAGCACATGTAAAAATTACCACCTGTCGATTTACCATTACAGAACACGGTTGGATTTACCAAATGAAATTACTTGCATCATTACATATCACTTTTCAATGTAAAAACTGTGAAATAGTCATGTTCTCCACTCATCCACTCTTTAACACAATAATACATAACAGTTGGTCAGATCCTCATTATTCACAGCCACCTACATCATGCATTCTTGTCGGTCACACACCGTATCACATCAGCTGTTGACAAGGTCAAATGACCCACATCGTATATTAAGCCAGATACCTTCTAACAAGAAAGTGACATTAGTCTATTTTCACAGTTGAGTAGATTTTCCTCACAAAGAAGCTAGTTCCAATATACCCAAAAGTACCTGAAATAATAAAATACAATTAATATAGAGGTATTGCAGTCGACTGTTGCAATGTGTTACATGCTTCAAAATAGAGAACAGATTCTGGAACAGCATTTTCCATAGCCATGTTAACCAATCTCCAAAGTTCAGGGTAATTAATGAAGATCTTGAGAATAATGGACCTTGCTTTGAATTAGAGAGAATACTCTGGCACTGCATTTTATGTATCCATGCTAAGCAATCTGGAGATTTAAGTACAGTACAGAGAAGACATATGATAACTTGAACAAATTGAAAGTCGATAACAACTTACCACACATAACTCCAAGAGCTAAACTAAATAGGGCCATGTATCCAAAGTAAAATGTTGTTTGAAACAAGCCATACATTCTGCAATAAAAGTTCACAAAAGTTATTAATATAATACAAGTGAAATAATGAAGATTACTGCAAAGGAGTACAAGTATTTATAAAAAAAAAATTATCCAGCAGTTCATCATTGAGCTAAATTCATCAATTGCATTTATCTTACCAGAAAAACTTAAATGACACTTCCCCATTTCACACTTTCCCAAACAGGAGTTTAGGAGGAATCTGATGTATATAATTGCACAAAAGATTATTATTTTTATCAAATTCATTCAAATTTTTGCCATAATTACTTTCAAATTGAATAAATTTCAATTAAGTCAACATTCTACACATATGCTGCATTCAACAGCCAAAAAAAGGGGGATAAAGTTCACATCGTAAAACAGGAAATTATTGATTAATAAAAAGCTTATCTATGTTTAAAGCCAAGAGACATACTTACTTAGTTTTGAAGAAAAAGTAATAAAACGAGTACAGATAAACATATCCTGATGTTGATGCTGCAGCAAGGAAGCTTGTCCATTGCCTTGAAACAAAAGGAAAGGCCTTAGTATTGAAAACTAAACAATTATAATTTGGACAGTTTTTTGAGTAACATATTTGTATGATTTGTATTTTTTGATGTATAACGACCATTATGTCCAAAACTGCTGCAGTGTACCTCGGAGATTTTATCTTCAGCAGTATGTATTTTTTTCTGATTTTACAAAAAGCTTTTCCACGAAGCTTTTACAGAATAGAGAGCATAACTTACCAGCGATAGTCCTCTGCATTCAGTAAAAAGTAAGTACAAACAATTGTAACACAGACTGTTACAACAGTCAGAATAAGAAACACCAACAACATGAAACCATAGACGTAGTATATTTTGTATGCCCAGAAAGATGTGAAGATGAAGTACCTGTAAAGACAAAAAGTTTAACTTACAGTTAACAAATATTTCTGGCCTCTGTGAATGGCATGCAAATCTGATAAAAATGAATACATGATTACAACAGGACTGTGATAAATCTAAGGACACTCGGATAATAAAGACTGTGTAGAAAGACAATTTAAAATCAGTGTTTTGGTCCCAGAAATTTATAACAGACACTACTACACATAAAATGGATTTAAAGTTTCAGCAACTGATTATAGTATACATTTACAAACATACACTTATATATAAAAGGCAAAAGCTGAAACACGCTGATTAGAGAGGTATCATTTATTACTTACATCTCGATGAATATAGAGCCAAATGGCAGAATTCCCCCAAGCACGGTTATCACAGCAGGTTCCATAAACCTAAAACACAAAAGGTTTGGAAAGAAGTTTTTACTGTAAAGTAAAAGTGGGTAAAGGCTATGTTGTATTGATTGATTTCCATGTTATGACAAAGACATGCCTTTAATGAGCTTTATTTACATACCACTTCTTCTCTGGTATTGGCCGTGGGACAGCGTTGATACGACAGGGGTAGTTGGGCTGGCCTGCCAGATTCCTCCCCAACACTGTTCCCACCAAGGTCAATGGTAGTATCACAAAGATGCAAATGCAGGTCACAGCCACCTGATAAACAGATATGGTGACTAGAGTGAAGATAATCTGGCAATGAAATTGAATTACTTTCAACTATAATGATGCTTCAGTTCAAATTTGGACAAATCCAATTATACCTACAGAAGGATTTTCCTTTTTAGGGCAGTCCAATGCACTGTTAATGCAAAATTGAGTCCCCTTCTAATATAAATGCTTCTGCCCAAATTCGATTGAAATCTGCTCAGTACTTTTTGACAAGTGATCTGCAGGACAAATTGACAGACTGATGAAGGATAGTGCATTTGTCATAAAAACTCTTGGCCCTTTGGGCCAACCAAGTTGAAAGTAGATGGAAATCTTTTCTGATTTTCATACCTTCAAAGTGACTAAATCATTACACATTAATGAACAAATCATTGGTTGTTTTCTTACCATGGTACCAAATGGAATAGCTCTGGATGCATGGTAGTATATTGCGATAAAGTTGATAAAGAAAGCTGTTCCACAGACAAGGGTTGGCATCATGAAAGCACTTGCCAACATCTGCTTGATCCATATTTTACCTGTAACCAAATAATTTAATTTTAATTTGTGAATGCCATAGACAGGTACAGAGATGTTGAAATATTGATGCATTGTAAAAGATGAGTTTGTAAACTGTTCAAAGCAGAAAATTGATGAACCAATCACCGAGTCAATAGACCGCTTTGGTACACAAAGGCACTGAAAGTGATCTGCTTGGAAAAGACCCATAAAGATCTTATTACTACATCATTTATAATACAACAAATCCAATAGTTCAAAATGTTTGCAAACAACTTCCAGTCATCCTTGTTGTAAATGCACAAAAGCTTTTTCTTATCAAACACATAGAAAAACCCTTTTAATTTGATTTGATGTCCAAATTGTTGAAACTAGCAATTTTCAGAGTTGCATATGACACCAACAAGCTCAAGACAGAAGCCTCATTTTGCTTCTTTTACACTGTTTTTATCAAGTATCATAAAAGGATTAGAAATCTTCCAAAATCCAATCAAACAACACTTACTGATTCGTCTACCTCTTGAAAAAAAACCTTTTTTCCACTGTAGTTAATCAAAATCATTAATGAAGGATGGAATAATTTACATAATAATTCACAAGCAAATGCGCATCAGATTAGTAAACAGACACTGGCATGTGCTCAATTCTGCATTACTCAACTTCCTAACTCAGGTTAAGGGGAAGGAACTCTTGCTCACCTCCCATTCTGGCATACAGACTCCCTCCAAAGTATCCATTGACTGGTGATGTTGCAGCATACACAAATATGGCAGTACTTAACAAAGAACCTCGTCTGAAATACAAAAAAAAATCCCATTTCATTTAATCTGCTTAATCAGAAAACAATTAATTCATTTCATGCTGAACTTTAATGGTGCACAAATTGCCATCTTGGATGGTTTTCTTTAGGGCTGTTGTGGGTACAATTTCTGTCCCAAGTATGTGACTTTTGCAACCTGACCTGTACCCAGTTTCCTAAAAGTTAACCATCCAATGGCATTCAGAATCCTTCAGTGCAAATATTGATCAATTTATAAAATTTAGTGAATGAAACAAAACTTTCCTATGGTCCTAACATTACTTATAATGTCTGTGCATGTACTACTGTTATTTCCAGTCATCACCTGATTTGATATAGGAATGCATTTTGTTTGTGTATGGTTTGCTTTGTGTTTGACTAGAAATGTAATATCTCATGCGATCTTAACTAAGTTTCCGTATTGTTTGTTTATGCTTCGCGTGTAACCAGAAATGTAATATCTCCCTTACATATCATATCATATAATAAAAGCACCAAAAAGTTTCATGAAAGAAACAATTTCACTGATCAAAGCTTGTTTTATACTTTTCATCAACATTTAGAAATACCTCAATAATGACAGTAAAGTTTTGTCTGCTGTGATGGTAATTTACAGATATAATAATGTATTTGTGTTCCTGTTTATGGTGATTTCCTGGTTGCCTTGAACAGTATATTGTAAAAATCTACAGTCATGGCTTACACACGTTTTTGAGTTGCTGAAACAATGTAGCACTTAAAAACAAGTGCCGGAACACAAAGCAGAAATGAAAAGGTAATTCTGTTAAAGCAACAATCTTTCTATAACCTTATGTGTAAGTGAATTTGTTTCAAAAAGCAATGCACCTAAAATTGATAAATTGTGTAATTTGAAACTTTAAAGTTTTATTCTATCTCTTTATCCTCTGTACCTGTTCATATGTTAGAATGTCTAACAAATGCAAAGGGAGTGGAATAATTTCTATATTGTTTGGTCTAGGCAGTTGGACAAAAACAAATTGGTAAGTGTGATCATAAAATTGTCTTACTCTGTATATAGGTCACCCAGGATGGCAAAGATAATGACACAAAGGGCCACACAGGAGATGTGATAGCCAGATCCAATGAGAGCTGAGAACAACATGGAGTGAGAGGCTGGCCTAAACACATCTCCATGGACTTGTTTCCATCCATACTCATCTCCTAAATCCTTCTCCTGAAAAAGAATAAAGATTTAATGTCCCTATACAGGAATTCATGCAGGAAAAAATATACATTTGACTGAAACTATCATTAATGGAAAACAAGAGGCCCATGGGCCTTAACAGGCAGATTGTAGTTATTGTAAGTAGGTAAATGCAACAAGTGTTGCATATTTTTTGACAATAATGTTGGAGCTAAATTCCACTGATAAAACTTGAGAAGTTTGAAATAGGTGTTGCATAGGAAAACCTTGATTGTACAATCATGTTGCAAAATGACCCCTGTGGCTGACATGACATTCCCACCAATTTTAAGCTCAATGGCACCAGTGGAACAGGAGAAGAAATTTTAAATATTTTTTCAAGATGGTGACTATCTAGGATTTCAGATATATCCGAAAAATAACAATTAGTCAGGACCATCTCAGGATCATTTCATGCAAGTCTGAGCTCCATCCCACTGGTGAAACTTGAGAAGAAGTTTAAAATGTCAGAAGTTTACATACAGCAGACGATGACGGAAGAAACACAATGGCTATAGGTCGTCATGACTTTTGGGGTCATATGACCTAAAAATGTTAATTTAACAAAAGCTCAAGTGATATTCATGTTTGCTTCCATAGGAATGAACTTCAGTAGTTTTCAGTACAACAATCATTTTCTAGTTTCAATTGAATGTACTGATCAGATGACAATGCTCTTACAAAAGAACTTCATATAACTGGCAATAGTACAGGACTGTGTCTGTTTACAGTGTCAGGGAAATATGGATCATATGTTGTTTAGGTACTCATTGCTAATGCAATAAAGGGTCTATGGAATAAACATCTAAACATACCATGTCATCCAAGTCTTCTTCCTTGCTGTAACGAGCATAATCCTTTCTCAGTGTTCTCATCAGGATCATACTAACTAAGCCCACCAAAAAGATGACCATCATGAAGGAATTGAAGATACTGAACCAGTGGATCTATTAACAAAACATGTGATAACAGACTCATTTACTATAAAGCAAAACCCACTCTGTACAAGAATTTTTACTACAAGTCAAAAATCAGAAATTGGTCAAAATATAGCACAACGGGGAATATGGAACTTGGTTACAGACAGGATCATAGCCACAGTCTGTACTTACTTGAATTCCATTGCTTTGTTGGCTTACTTCTCATCAATTTTAAAATATACACAGAGGCCCAATCATGACTAATGTTTGTAAATTGTTCTAGCTAGATCTGCAGTAAATTTCTGTATATTAGATACCATGTTTGTTTATATGGTGATTACAGGCATACAATTTCTTAAAGAACGCAAGTAAATCCTTCTGCGATTTTTTTTTATATGAAAACATAAAATCTGAACATGTACAGAATATACATTTAACAGCCACTACTATGCGAAAATTTATACAGAAGGCTCTTATTTCATACATTTCTGGTAAACACAATTTTCTTTTATTCAAGTTATGATCACAAAACCATACGAACTGCAATATGTTTAGGCTTAAAAGGATTAAAAAACTTACTCTGTGTTGGAAGAAGTTTGGATCCAAATATTTGTCGAATCTGTCGACAAATTTAACACTGGAATCATGCCATTTTACCTGAAAGTAAAATGTAAATATTTTTAATGAAATTTTAGATTATAAAACCATAATAAAAGCAACAAGCTTATAGATCCTATGATGTGTATGGAATGTGAATTACACATAAAGGATACAAGTTAACACTTTATCAGAAATAATATTCCCCACTACTAAAAGAGGGTAAAAAACACTAAAATTGGTGAAGTTTTAGAGTTGTACCACTGGTTTTCACATGAATAGTTTCAAAATGCAATGGAGAAAAACTGAGAAACCAGATTACAAACCGTTATAACATAGCTACAGCAATTTCTAATAATTTCTGTTATTTATCAAAATGAAATCATGGAAGCACAAAACATACAAAATAACTGCTATGGCAGAGGAATCAAACTTGCAAGTGAAAGGTTTAATCATTATTGCATTTTGTCCACCTATTATCAAATTTTCATGCTACACATTAATATTTACATCATAAACTGTTAAAAAAAAGTCCCAAACTCTATCCATAAGAAAACAAGTGTAAATTAAAAACTTGTATCTGGCCTGTTTTACTCATATTTGTATTTTACTCTGACAAGACCTAGAACTACTGCCCTCAGCTGAGAATCTGAATTCACTGAAAATCATAAATCAGGGTAAATCATTGTAGGTATAGCCATTTCACATCAAAAGGAATGTTAATTCTCCCAATGCCATAACACACTAAAACAATTAGCCTACTTGTATAAACTAAATATTTAATCTCCTTTAACTTCAAATCAAAAAGCTCAATACTTTTAAAACAAGGGTTGAATAACATCTTAAGCCTAGTCTTTCTTACAGGAGAAGAGGAGAACATCAAAAGCATCCCATTCAAAAGTTCACATGAAGCAATCATTGTATAAAATGTTCTTGAAATGGCAATTACTCAGTTAAGAATCTGAATTCATTGTGTGTCAGAAATCAGGGTTCAAATGATTCATCATAGTTAAAGCCATTTCAAAATCACTACAATATTTAAACCATTTTACAATGTTTATGAACAGATAAGAAAAGATATCTTCAAAAATTAAGTATTACAACTAGTCTCTTGTTTTCAATTTCACAAAGCCAAGCCGAGCCAAAATATACTGCTGATATTCAGCAGGAACTAACTATAACACGATAGGATAAAACTAAATCTACACAAGTACTAGGTAATGTTAATTTGGAATCAAAAGCATTATTGTCCGAACTTAAATTGGAAAAAGTTTCCTGATCATCATTCATACTATGCCCACTTCATTCTCAAAATAGGTTTGTATCTTTCACCACTGAATTTTAATTTGATTCATTCTAAAAATAGGTTTGTATCTTTCACCACTGAATTTTAATTTGATTCATTCTAAAAATAGGTTTGTATCTTTCACCACTGAATTTTAATTTGATTCATTCTAAAAATAGGTTTGTATCTTTCACCACTGAATTTTAATTTGATTCATTCTAAAAATAGGTTTGTATCTTTCACCACTGAATTTTAATTTGATTCATTCTAAAAATAGGTTTGTATCTTTCACCACTGAATTTTAATTTGATTCATTCTAAAAATAGGTTTGTATCTTTCACCACTGAATTTTAATTTGATTCATTCTAAAAATAGGTTTGTATCTTTCACCACTGAATTTTAATTTGATTCATTCTAAAAATAGGTTTGTATCTTTCACCACTGAATTTTAATTTGATTCATTCTAAAAATAGGTTTGTATCTTTCACCACTGAATTTTAATTTGATTCATTCTCAAAATAAGTTTGTACCTTCCACCACTGAAGTTTAATTTGATAACACTTGAACACTGCTCAGAAGACCATGAAAACACTAACAAGAGAACAGCAATACTTCATTATCTATTTCACAATATTCAGGAAGGAATGTGATGAATGACAAACTGCTCAGTAAATGATCTGAATTCATTGTTTATCAGAAATCAGGGTTCAAATGAAAATCCTCATAGCAATTGTCATTTATCTTACAAAAGGGCAAACAAAATTTCAAACTTATTTTTTTCACTAGACCGATATTACAACAAAAAAACAATTACCTCATAGCTAAATGATATTTTCTCGTTCAGCACAAGTTTTTTCTTCGATTCACTTGTTAGATTCACATCAACAATCTGATGGTTGTTTTGACCTAAGTCAAACTTTTTGTGTGTCCAAATATAAAAGCCGTCACCTCCTTCGTCTATTTCTCCTACGATGCCTTAAAAGGAAAACAGAGATATTACAAATCAATGGTATTTCACATTAACAGACTAAATGAGAAGTGCACCTGCTAATTATTTCTTTGCATCAAAACTTGTATAGTACCAGCCAGTCTTTAGGCAGATTCACAATAATGTGTATCTTACCAAACTGATCTTTTCTGAGTAGTCACTATTTTGATACAATCTCAGTTACTTGGTACAAGAATTATACATCTGGATGGTTAACTATGTGAAAACTAGACATACAACTTGGTACCATGGTAAATATACTTTACCCCATATTGGCAAATCATCGATGTACATCTGATACCAATAGTGGTTTTTGACGGCATAGACAAATGCCTGGTATTTCTCCTCAGTCAAAGTGACAGTGCAGTACTCCGTCTTCTTCATATCACCTGAAATAACAAAAAAACTCAAAACATGTAAATAATATTAATTGCTTTCAAAAGAATCAGAAATTAACACTTTAAAAAAAATTAACAATTTCTGAAATTCCAGTTAAGAACTTGTCCTTCAGTTTCCAAGGTTTATTTTTCCAAAGTCCCTTCATGGGCACCAATGTAACAGAGGTCATTATTACTTTCAATGCCTCCACTGGTATTGAAAAGGACCTCTGACTTAGTTTGATCCAGCTGAGAGAAGTTCTTTAAAGGCCACGCAGTACATAGTGGCTACCTGGTAGTTATTACCAGAGACACATTTCCATTTCATATTAAGACAACCGTGGTTTTAATTATTTTCAATAAAGTGTCTTACAAATCAGCAATCAAAATGGTGAAAGTCGAGTACAAAATAAAATCATGGTCTGTGGAATGTACCTTTGAAATCAATATCCAGACCACTGAACTCCAATTCTGTGCCCTGTAATGCCTCGCCAAGTGTTTCATGGTAATGACCAATGCTTTCTTTTGGCCCAGGACAGAATGGCAAGGAAAAGAAGGAATAAGTCTCCTGTCTGTTGTGGTATGGGCCAACAGTGTTCATCCACAACACAATTTCTTCTCCATCTTCATACTGAAATAAAACATAAATGTTTATCTCATAATTATGTAATCCGTATTTTATGCATCAAAATTTTGAATTCAATCGTCAGATCCAGCACATTCAGTTGGTAAGACTTTTGAATAGCAATGCTAATGGACATATAAGAGCTGTATCAACCTACCTTCAATAGATTTTATAATTTGTTAACAAAACCTGATGAAAATTTTTTTGTGATGTTCACAAAGAGCATACTTCCAATTGATTGACACATAGTAATGGGACATTTTCGTTTATCAACTTGACCAGTCTCTTTTTTAGGTTTATGAAATTAGGACTGGCCTACATATCTTATTTTGCTTTCCTACAAGTCTTGACTACGCTTTTTAGGTCTGCATTAATGTTTGCTGGTCCTTCTTGATGCATTTAACATTTCACAAGCCAATAAATTGGTTTGCTTGCAAAACAAACTCATTTATCTGATAAATATTGTGCGATATTGACTCAAAATAATGTGCTTCATTTAAATATAAGCTGCTAAGTTCATACCCCTAGCTGTTGGTTAGAATGAAGGAAACAGTATTTAATATTTGCACCTATATACATGTTTTTCTTTGGTTGACTTCTTCCGTTCAAAGTAAATTGTTCGATATCAGGCATACTGTGGTTTGATGAAATCTAATTTCAAAATATAGAACCATTACTATGATTACCAGAACTCATGTGGTTGTGTTTTTCAAACAGAATGACAGGGGACGAGAGTACGAGACAGGTTTCAGCGTAGCCCTAGACGATTTCTGAAGGTGTAAGCAAGGTGTGGATTATGAATATTATTTCCCCTTGGCATGGGTATGTCGATGTCACACGGAAAAAAACTAGGACTGGTGTTTAATCATTGCACAATCTCTTTCGGTAAAATGCATATATTGCATCACAAATCTGTTACAATTATGTGCAAATATGTCAAGGCCTGTAAATTAATTTGTTTTTTCATACACAGATATTCGAATTCTGTTTTGGTTGTCAAGTGAAATAAATGCATCCTTCCTAAAATCGGATATAATTACAGTTATTAATTAACCGTTACCGACATCCCTATCGGAAGAGGTCTTTACAAAAGCGTGTGTTATATAACACTAAAAGTACATGATACCAGTTATATATCAGACGGATATATTTGACTCGTTTGCCGGTTCAGAGACGTCAAACTAAACAATCAGAGGAGGGCGGCTTTACCTGATGGTTGTGTTCATCTCCAAGTGCCGAGTTAAAGACACAAATTATGATGCATGTTATTATTAAAAGGCTTAGGCATTGATTGCCCATCTTATTTGTCGCTGATGTCCTCAATTACAACTGGATTCGAGATAGATGGTAGACGGATACTTCCGAGACTCTACGGCCAATATGGCAGACTCCATTGGCCACGTCACGAACACCGATATTCGGAGAAGATCGGAATGAAGGGGAGACTACTCTGCAATTATTCACCCTTTCGTGTAACTTACCTGTAATAATACAATGAAATCGCTACTAACAACATAAGTTTCATTATCAGACGTTAAAGGCATCTTTTCTTGATTAATTCCTGGTATAAACACGAAGACTATATTTCAAAGGACCAGGCATAGAAAAGAAATAAATGCAATAATCAGAGACGTATATATCACATGCGTTATACACGTCACTGCCAATATAATTGTTTCAAATGCTAGTAGTTACAACACATGCATGTATATAAACTCCTCGATCATTTAGTTTAGGGCCCATTAACAACCATTCTCGCTAGCTACGCTATGTCGACGAATTACCACCAAATAAATACATGAATGAATTCAAGTGTGTTCCTACTATAAGATTTATTAAAAAAAATAAAACAGGCCAGTGAAACACCAGTATTTTCCTAAAATAAATAATAATAATAATGAAAAAAAAAACAAAAAACAAAAAACAAAAACAAAACAAAAAAACAACAAAAAACAGCAGATTTAACATTGAATTCGCTCACCTGAAATGATGGATGTGTATTGCTAAATCATAGATACGCTTCAGATAGCTTACAGTGACCCAAAAGTACACGTGTAATATATAAAATCCTCCGATTTGAACGACATGGCATTCCGATGACAGAAAAATCAAAATAAAATAATGGTGGATATCTGTGTCCATGTGTGCTCTTTTTCTAAAGGGGTGAATTCAAGTTTTTACGGTTTGGTTGTTTTTCTCGGATGGACCATATTTTTTGATATACCTGGTACTTTACTATAGATGTCTTACCTAAAATCACCCGTATATTTCTATATTATCATTATTTATCAATATGAGATCTATATGATCCTGTCTGTAGGACACAAACATGCCTGTTAGATATACATTTACAGAAGATAGTTCGGGTATGGACATCACGTGGTTAACAAGTTATGTCATCTCATTAATTTTCATACATGACAAGACAACTCAAACCCAAGATTTTGATTTAACTCATTTTATTTATGAATACAGTAACAATTCAAAGTTAGATATAAGAACATCGAGGGCAACAAACCTAAAGATAAAGTGTTATATACAGAGAACTTTCTTTATCAACTCGTATATATATGGAGATTCAAAACGTATGGAGCCGAGCGACAGTAAGAACATCATTCTGACAATATCGTCTTTTATCTAACAAATATTTCCAAATGAAAATACAAAAAAAAAAAAAAAAAAACCCAAAACAAAACAAAACAAAAAACAAAACAAAATCACCGACAGCATATCTAAACTATATATAGACCCTATATTCACAAGAACCTTACATTTCTGAAACAAGACTACAGAAAAAAAACACTTTCAATGAAGTCATATTACTAATTAATTGCCTTTAGGCCTATACCAGGACTTTTTTAACAGAAAAAATCTGTTTTTTTTTATATTATATGTAAAATACTGGTATACACTTAAAACAGACACAGAAGATAAATGAAGACGCTTGTCAAGTAGATAATCATAGTAAGAGAAAGGGACGTTGTTGATTTTGTATTTACACATCAGCACATATCTAAATCAATTGTGTTGTGCTAAGCATACCAATATAACAAAATAATGTGCAATAATCAAAAGTTTAATCTTTATGGAACTATATATTATATATATACCTACACCAAATGTTCTACTCTATATCTATCTAATATCTATATTGTAATATCAGTGATCACGACAGTACGCACACGTACATTGTCAAATTCAAGCCACCTTTATCAAGACACAAAATATCATATAAATTACATCATAAACATAGAACATAAAACAAATACAAAGTTATAAATCTAAATCGAGAGCGGTAGTGTAAATTTAGGTGTCTCGATAATCCATTCGGCCGATATACCCGAAGGCCCTTTATAAGAGGAAAAAAACCCCCAAAAAAACACAGCTTAAGCTGTTGTATGAAAAATGGTGGTTCACGAATGACAAATGTGTATTTAAGAAATCTCGGGACGTTGCGCACGATAGAAACTGAGCGTATATATATGATTCCACAGTAAAAGGTTTTAGTATCACACTCTGAGGAAAGAAGAATATCGACACATCTCGGTCCCACTCTAACTAAGGCATTGTTGATATAAAAATATTGTAAAGATTTTAATAAATGTATGTATATCTAAAATTTAAAAAAAGATAAGAAAATATTATCTCCTATTTTTATGACGGCATAATAGACAATCACGCTCTTATTGATGACTTTATAAATATATATTAAGGACGTTATGCTGTAGGCTTACCCAGGTAGCAAAACAAAGTATAAAGCGTTTGAAGATTTTATAGGAAGGCGCTTATGGTTTACTCACCAGAAGTGTTTCCTATTTCATTATTTTTTCTAAATCTATATTTTGCATACATAGTTATCGACAAGAAATACTAAAAAGAGATATTTACACCAAATATTGTTTCTAAATAAATCTACGTAAAATATTTTATATATAGATATACATATATACCACATAGGGTATACATAACATAGAGACATCAACACCAAATATGACACATGTAGAAATCAATAAATACCTAAATCTAGTGCTGCCAATGTCGGACTTTTCGTATTTCGTAATGTTAAATTTCTTGTATGAAAAACTGTTAAATAAGCGCTTTTGTTGTTGCGAACAAGTGACTTATGGAAAAGTCGCCAAGTTTCGAGCTACATGTATATCTCCTAGCTGGGCCGTTAGTCTAGCGCAAGCAAGCATGCTAATTTAGCGCAATATAAACAGATAAACACAATTTTATTCATAAATTGTTGAAATTTTGAAAATTTTCAATAAATTACGTGGCTTAACACTTTTGTCTTTCTTTACCATAAAAAAAGCACAGCTTATAAGTTATGACAATGACCATGTATGCTCTATAAACACCACAAGTTATATAACAGGTCCTGAGGTAGCAATATTATATGACTGGATTTACGGCATCAAAATGGTACAATACGAACTTGTCAAATATTTATATAAATAAATCTGCTGGCGGATAACTCTTCAACGTCTAGAAACGCCATCACAAGAATACTGCGTTTTTTAACCCCACGTGGTGAAATGAATCCGTTAAGTTTCCTCAAACGCCATAAGTACGTTTCTCATTCCCGGTGACAAAGCTGAATGGGAGTCACTTCCCCTGAACTGCATGCACCGCCCACATTGACCAATGACAAATGCAGTATGACAAAATCTATGACCAGTCATACAAACAGGGTAATATAAAACGGGCTCGATTCAATCCACGCATCCGCATAAAAGGAATATGTGACACCATCTATGGTGACTGTCACCTGAAATAACAAACAATACACCAATATCAGTGACATTACAGTAATAGGAAGAAGTAATCAAAAACACACCGCTGTGGTTCGAACTAGCGATCTAGCCACTCTACCGCTCGACAAAAGGGAAATTCCCACTAGACGATGTCAGTAAGGCGACATGTACTCTTCTACAGTAATAACAATCAATAATACCAAATAATGTCAATAGTCAGAAAACAATAACACCACAATAATGTCAATAGTCAGAAACCAACAACACCACAGTGATGTCAATAGTCAGAAACCAACAACATCACATTAATGTCAATAGTCAGAAAAGAATAACACCACAGTAATGTCAATAGTCAGAAAAGAATAACACCACAGTAATGTCAATAGTCAGAAAAGAATAACACCACAGTGATGTCAATAGTCAGATGTCAATAGTCAGAAAAGAATAACACCACAGTAATGTCAATTGTCAGAAACCAACAACACCAAAGTAATGTCAATTGTCAGAAACCAACAACACCACAGTGATGTCAATTGTCAGAAACCAACAACACCACAGTAATGTCAATAGTCAGAAACCAACAACACCACAGTAATGTCAATTGTCAGAAAATAATAACATCACAGTAATGTCAATAGTCAGAAACCAACAACACCACAGTGATGTCAATAGTCAGAAACCAACAACACCACAGTAATGTCAATTGTCAGAAACCAACAACATCACAGTAATGTCAATTGTCAGAAACCAACAACATCACAGCAATGTCAATAGTCAGAAAATAATAACATCACAGTGATGTCAATTGTCAGAAAACAATAACACCACAGTAATGTCAATTATCAGAAAACAATAACATCACATTAATGTCAATTTTCAGAAACCAACAACACCACAGTAATGTCAATTGTCAGAAAATAATAACATCACAGTAATGTCAATTGTCAGAAACCAACAACACCAAAGTAATGTCAATTGTCAGAAACCAACAACACCAAAGTTATGTCAATTGTCAGAAACCAACAACACCACAGTAATGTCAATTGTCAGAAAATAATAACACTACAGTGATGTCAATAGTAAGAAAATAATAACATCACATTAATGTCAATTGTCAGAAAAGAATAACACCACAGTAATGTCAATAGTTAGAAAAGAATAACACCACAGTAATGTCAATAGTTAGAAAATAATAACATCACAGTGATGTCAATTGTCAGAAACCAACAACACCAAAGTAATGTCAATTGTCAGAAAAGAATAACATCACAGTAATGTCAAGAGTCAGAAAACATTAACACCACAGTGATGTCAATTGTCAGAAACCAACAACACAACAGTGATGTCAATAGTAAGAAAATAATAACATCACAGTGATGTCAATAGTCAGAAAAGAACAACATCACAGTAATGTCAATTGTCATAAACCAACAACACCACAGTGATGTCAATAGTCAGAAAAGAACAACATCACAGTAATGTCAATTGTCATAAACCAACAACATCACAGTAATGTCAATAGTCAGAAAATAATAACATCACAGTAATGTCAATTGTCAGAAACCAACAACACCACAGTAATGTCAATAGTCAGAAAATAATAACACCACAGTAATGTCAATTGTCAGAAACCAACA